TAAATAGTTGTAAGTTGGACCCAAAAACTTTGTTTCCATGTGATTTATACTTTTTGATAACACATGGTGAAGTTATTTGGTAGTTCTGTAATTAAAAAATGTTTAGAAGAAAAAGTCGCTCTAGTATTTGATTTACATTTTACCCGCTCATGTCCAATGTTTACGCCATATTTAAGCTCAATTGACGGATATGAAATATTCAATTAGTTAATAGGGTCAGTGTCTGGAAGTCGGCTTTATTAATTCAACTGATTTAAACAATTCACAAGCTGACCTGCACAAACCGAATTACTCTTGTCGCATACATAGTTTAGAATTGATAACAGATTATTTAATCGTGTTGCACATTGAGCTGTATAAATTATTGATGTTTATCCAATTTGCTTGATGTTTGTAAGACTTTAAAAGAACGCAGTGTGTTATCCATATAATCTCATTAATGTTAAACTATTTAATAAATGGAACATTAATCGCTATAAAAATGTTAGAAGTTTTAAATTATCTATAGTAAGTGCGAATACTTTATAGAGCAACTAGCTAGATTCATGGTAGAGAAAAATCGGTTTCGGGATACTTATGGTCCGACAATAAAAAATCTGCCTCATCTCTTCACGAAAGATCAAATAAATTTTCGCAGAAAGTCAAGTTTTGTTTCTAATTCACTTCAGTCTCCATTTACTACTATTATCCGGCAATTTCAAAAATTACGTCAAGTAGGTTAACTCCATATTTCAGATGTTGCTTTATTGATTTCTTCTAAATTTTTGGAATATCTGTATGTGTACAAAATCAAATAGAGAGTAATGCGTAGACTTGGCAGACTTGTTCAAACTTAAAATGTGAAATCTTGGGATGCTGTCAAAGTTCTATAATTTGTGCAGAGTGAACGCTTTTTCTAGGTACGAGTATCTAGCAAATGTTTATTATCCTTTTGTTCCAGGTATCGATTACGTATCAAGAGAGAACTTCCTGACAGAACTGGACAACGGAGTTGTCTTGTGTCACTTAGCACAAGTGATTTGTGAAACTGCAAAGAACACTTTTACAGCTGGCTTGTCAAAAGGAGTAAGTATACAACATACTGATCATGTTTTCACCGTAGGTAACCAGGCGCTTAGATAGCCACATAACATTATAGTTCTTTGCTGCTTCGTTATGATCTTCCTTATTTCGATTTTGCGTAGTAGCCAGACAACCTTTCTCCTTTATGTAAATAAAAAATCTCCGTTAGTTACAGGAAATAGGAAAGGGTTTGGTTCGTAAGGTTATTTTTTCCTTATTCACGGCTGTTGCTGAAATTCTTAAAGCTGTATAAGGTTAATTAAAATAATTTCAAGTCATAAACACATATTGGTTAAAATATAAATGAGAATATGCGTTTTACATCACAGATAAAAATAGATGCAGTGTTCTAAATGGATTGTCATGATTTTAGTCATATACAGGGTGTTCCTTAATGATATGAGAATATTTAAGGATGTGAATCTACATGACAAATTAATGTTAGTTTGCTTAATAAACTATGGTCCCAAAATGTTTCCTTAGAAAAACTCGGGGTGTTGAAATTTTAGGAAAAAAATGGAAATTAATTAATATTTTCAGAACCGCTTTAGATATTTCACTGCTATTTACTACGTAGTGAAAGTTAATAAAGTTGCATATTTTTTAATGCAAAAATAATTTTTACGTTTAACAGTGGCGTGCGTACGGGTATTGACTTCGATATTTTTTAAGAAAAACATGGTACGTTAATGGTATTATGTCAAAAAAAATTATTTTTGAGTTTCCCGTTTAATTCAAAACAAATGATCTCTCTTGGATTGTTTTCCTTCAATGCCCAATTTTTGAGTAAAAAAATAAAAACCGTTCTATTGTCTAACTTGCAAAATTATTATTAATTCAGTTGGACTAATTAAACACATTAGGGGTAATGAACAACAACAACTGACAACATAAACATAACATTAAAACCAACGAAATGTTTACAAAAATTGTTGAAAATGGCCCCCTTCACTGAGTATGCATGCTTCCGCCCTCCTTCTCATGGAATTGCGCACTCGTTGAAATATCCCTGGAGTGTTTTTTATTCTATCACAAGCTGCAACTATTCTTTCTCTTAATTCTCTCTCTACAGTGTTAATGGGACTTGTGTACACTAGTGTCTTAAGATAGCCCCATAAAAATGAATCTAAACTGTTGAGGTCTGAGGACCTTGGTGGCCATTCTTGGGGCCCACCGCGGCCAATCCAACGATTTGGATAAACAGTTTGTAAATAATTGCGAACCGCTACACTGAAATGCGCTGGTGCACCATCATACATGTACCACATATTGTTTCTTATTACTAACGGAACTTCATCAAGCAGCAAGGGCAACTGTTGTTGAAGAAAATTGAGGTAAGTCTGTCCGTCAAGTCGTCCGGGCATGAAGAATGGGCCAAAAAAGTGGTTGCCAATAATTCCTGCCCATACGTTAACCGAAAATTGGTGTTGGAAATGGGTTTCGGTTTCGGCATAGGGATTTTCTTCTGCCCACAGATGCTTATTGTGGAAATTCTGAATGGCGTTTCGAGAAAAATTAGCTTCGTCCGTGAACAGAATCATTGATTCAAATTGCGGATTTTGTGCAATTTCTTGAAGATACCACTGTCAAAAGGTCACACACCTTGGAAAATCAAAGGGAAGTAATGCCTGTACTCTTAAAATATGGTAAGGATATAACACAAAATTCACTAAAATTGTCCAAACAATTTGATGGCGAATGTTTAAGTGTCTAGGATCTTCCTCGTACTCGTTTCAGGATGTTCTTCGGCTTCGTGCAGCACTGCTTCCTCAATTTCAGGTTGTAACGGTTTCACCGTCCGATCGTATTTATTAAATCACTTCTCGATTATCATTTCATTAATCCCATCTCTAGGTTTTTTTTTCACTTGAGCCGCCGATCTAGCAAGAGCTAAGGATTTTCTTCTCTGTAGCACAAGGTCATATAGCACCATGTGCTAGAATTTTGTAGAATGTGTGTCCCAATAGGACAAAATGATTGGGGCCACCCCCTTTCTCTTTCCCTTTCCCTTTGCCTTTGTCTTTGACTTTTGCCTTTGTCTTTGACTTTGCTTTTGCCTTTGTCTTTGGCTTTGCATTGCTTGGCCTATCACTTCACCCATGCATGTGCCTTGGCAGCGCCATCACCTTTAAGTTCAACTTCGCCTACATCTAGTTCTGAAGCCACTAAATGTGAGGTCACCCCTCATAACTGGGACCTCCACTTCAAGCACCTGGCCATCCTCGCTTCAGTCCAGTCAAAATGGACCAGCGAAAGATAAGTGTATAGTTTTATAGCAGCGCCAAAAATTTAAAACTTAATTTGTTCTTTAAAACTTTAAAATTGTAATGTAATGAAAATGCTTTTTTGTTAAATAAAATCTGTTAAATTTTTGTGTTCTGTTTGTTCTTCTATCCTCTAGCTATGCCATGGTCGACACACAGCTACACGCCTCTAGATGTCTTCATGCCACCGACTGAGCTACCGGAAGCTAATGGTAACCCCCTTTCTGTGATTGTGCAGAAAAGTTGGAATCTTCATTGCATTCCATCTTTTCTGGACTTTTTGCGGAAAGGAAGCGTTACAAGGTCTACCTTCAGATGTTAATTTTCGGACAGAACCAGTTTCAACAAGACGACGATGCATTTTAGAAAAGGTTCGACTATCTGGCAAAGCACGATCGGGATATCTCTGGTGATAAATCCGTCTGGCTTGCTGACCATTACCGTCGGCAAGGCCATATACGTAATGCATTTCCGCCATTTCTGCATTTGCATACTTCACCATTATTAACAAGATTGTAAAAACTAAATAATGAAAAAGATGTCACAGCAAACAGATTTGAATAACAGAGACTTGTCAGATGTCAAAAGCCAGTGACATATTGCAAAGCAACTAGATATTTATTGCTAAATTGCATTCTTCAATTCAAATTAATTTTCTGGGAAAATAGAACGGTTTTTATTTTTTTACTCAAAAATGGCGCATCGAAGGGAAACAGTTCAAGAGAGATCATTTGTTTTAAATTGAACGGGGAGTAACAAAAATTTTTATTTGGCAAAAAACCATTGGCGTACCATTTTTTTCTTGAAAAATATCGAAGTCAATACCCGTACGCACGCCACTGTTAAAGCTAAAGATTATGTTTGCATTGAAAAATATGCAACTTTATTAACTTTCACTACCTACTAAATATCAGTGAAATATCTGAAGCGGTTCTGAAAATATTAATTAATTTCCATTTTTTCCCTAAAACTTCAACACCCCGAGTTTTTATCAGAAAACATTTTTGGACCATAGTTATAAAGCAAACTAACATTAATTTTTCTTGTAGATTCACACCCTTAAATATTCGCATATCATTAAGGAACACCCTGTATACCCTATTTCACGAGGTGAACAGCTGATCAGCGAGTGACATTTTTGTGTTAGTCTGCACCGTTGGCAATAATGAATCGGGTATAAATCTAATAAAACTTATTTGTGGCGTTTTGTTTTTTGGATGCCAATGAACTTTTCCAAATAAAAGAGCAGTTAGCAAGTACAAAATGAATCTGAAGCGTACAAAAAACGAAAACAAATACGGCTCTGTCTACCTGATGTTGACGGAGCCGTCAGAATTGTGTCCTGTGCCCATATGGGGAATTTTGAGATATTACTAGGTAATCGACTGTCATTCTACCGTGATGGATCCTCGTGAAATAGGGTTAATGCAATGTGGCAAGGTAGTCGTTCATTGTAGTTTTACTGTGTTTTGTGATCTCTTGTTCTGTGATTCTATGATGCAGTTTGGATACAAGTATTTACAGAAACTTTTCCGTGAAAAAAAGATAAGATTTTGGAAATCTGGGATTAGCTTCAAGTCAAAGTTCACAAAAATGAGTAACTCGTCATGATTACTACGGTTCTCTATTTTCTTCTGTACGATTTGAGGGGACAACATTTAGCCAAGTGATTTGGCACCCACGAATTCGCATAAATTCGAAGGAGCCAAGTCTATATGTTTACATTGCATTGTTTGTCGCCAAAATTGGGTAGTTTTAGCATAATAATAATACCGAAGAAAATATCTACCTTCATTATGCGTATGCCGCGCTCTTTTCAAATTATCTAATAAATAAATGTATGTTTTGTAATCTTCAAACACCGCAGTTATCTGCAACCACTCGCATTTTTAAAAAATAACACTAAACATACAAATTTAATGACTGAATTGTAAAAAAATTGACTTATGTCAAATGCCACTTTTATCATCACTACAGATTATGAGAATTAGGAGACTTGACTGGCTTCTTCTACCTAGTCTGAACTTGTTGTTTGGCAGTGATTGAAGCCTTAATTGTTTTTTCAGCCTCTGCCATTATTTCGGGGCAAATGCTTCGAGAGAGCCATGAGAAGAAGTTTCTTTTCCAGAGATAATATGGAGAATTTCATCAAATTTGCGAGATCTCTTGGTGTACATGAAAATCTCTTATTCGAAAGTGACGATTTGGGTGAGTTGCGTATTATAGTCAATCTAGCATATCAGCAACTACTGGTTGCGTGTATCATCGAAAGCGAAGAAGATCGTTCGTATGAGACATGCTTTTAGGGAGAAGCATAAAACCATAATTTTGGTTTTCAAGAGTGTTAGTTAATATCAACCGTTTCCACTGTTAGCTAAGAATGAATGAATTGCAACAGCACTTTCCTGAACTAAATTTAAGTAGAAGAGTTGATATAAACATGCGTCCTAAAAAGTCTAGTTTTCAAGGTACAGTGTGTTTTTTATCAATATCTAAAAGTTCCTTGTACCGGTTTTGTTGAATTTTGGCAATGTTTTAATAAGACGAAAGTTAGCACTAACTAGAAAATAATTATGAATTCCAATGGTACCTCGGGGGGCAGTCGCACGAATAATATTGACATAAAAATATACGCCGCTGACTTTTTTGAAATAGTATGTTTTTTTTTGATTAATGATACAACTGGATTATCGGTATCTCTTTCTTTATTATGACCAAAATACCATAATTACTGTTCAAAGTCTAATTTATTACTTTTACACCAATTTATAATGCTTAACCAATTTATGACAAATTTATAACCAAGTTGACAGGACTACGCGTCCTGTGTTGAGTCATCGCCCGCTGTCAACTGCTCGACTGTCCACTGACAACATCACTGACTAACCGCTTCCGCCATCTGGTCGGGTATTTATACTCGACTAGTCGAGAAACATTCCAGCGTTTTCGCGAACTTCTACGGAAGTGATCGAGATGGCAGCAAATTCATCTATAGAAGTGTCTAGTAATCGCGTTGGCGTCGCGAACGTTCCAAAACGCGATCATGGGTCCTGATTCTAGATGAGTTTCTAACGTTGAAATTGATTTCGATGGCGCCTTGTGACGATATACTTGATTCGCTATGATAATTTTGACATCAGATTATATTGACCTTCTATATTCAAATTACCATGGCAGTGTCAAAATTATCATAGGTACTCAAGTATACCTTCACAAGGCGCCATCGAAATCGATTTCAACGGTCGAAACAAATTTAGGATCAGGCCCATGGTCGCGTGATTCTGGTTGCCTAAGCATCGATCCTACTTGTGGCCACCTGTCGAAAGTTCCTGTTATACGAGGGTGTTACAGTACGTTCCTACGTTTTCGAGGTAAAAAATAAAAACAACTTTATTACATGTCGCTCGTCAGTCGATAGAAGGTGGTAATTTTCAATGTTTTTTTGTAAATATTTTATAATGTTCTTACATAAGATAGGTATTAGAGAGGCGCCAAAAACGGAAGGAAGATCCCAGCGCCATCTATGCAACAGTAGCTGAACCAAACACTCCAATTCATTTCAAATAGATTCCAAAATTAATTTTCATGTTCTGCTATTGTATCATAGATGGCGCTCCAGTATCTTTCAGATCCTTTTTTGGTTGCTGGAATACAGTTAGAATATGCTTATAAATGCTTTCAGTTTTAGTCAATTGCCTCCTTTTGGACTCAACTACATACGTTCTGAATGTTCTATCCTGCATTACAGTGCTTCACAACCAGCCTCGCAACGTAATCCTGTGCCTTCTAGAAGTGGCACGCCTGGCAGCCAGTCGTTTCGGACTGGAACCTCCCGGCCTGGTACAACTGGAAAAGGAGATCGCCGAGGAAGAGAGGCGGGACGACGCAGATTCCGGCACCGGGTCATCGCTGCTGTCTTGGCAGTTCGGCGCGGGAGTGGTTCTACCAGCGCCGGCACCGCCGACGCCGCCTCCCCCGCAGGTGGATAGGAAGATGATGAGGCAGAGTCAGTCGGCTGGGGCGATATCTTCGATTATGACAGACAGGTAATGTGTGACTCAGTATCAAGCGATACTTACAGGCTGAATGCACCCTCAAACTACACAAGCGGGGCAGTAGTATTAGTGACGCTAAAAAATCAACTGTGAATAAGGAAGGCAGCAGAGGCAGTCGGCTTGGGTGATCTCTTCGATTATGACAGATATTATGTAATTTGCGATTAAATCATGAGCGTTACTTAAGGGCTGCATGTGTCCCTTAAACTACATAATCGGAGACGGGAGTACCACCACCGTCGCAGCCTCCACCGCAAATCGACAGGAAAGCGATGAGACTGTCAGTCGGCTGGGGCGATCTCTTCGATTATGACAGAGAGGTAATTTGCGAAGTAATGGGCGATACTTATTTACTTAAGGGCAGAATGCATCCTTCAGTCTACACACCTGGGGATAGTAGTATCACTGTCGCCGCCTCTATCAGCTATGGGCCTAAAACTACAAACGCGGAGACGGTAGTACCACCGCAATATCACCGACATCGCCCTCACCACGGGAGGACAGGATGGCGATGACAGGCAAATAATATCGAACAACAATTCGTCCTCATTTATATCTGTCAATCTTGGGAACCGTTCTCACCGATAGCAACTGCCGACAGCAACCCGACATGACTCATGTATTCGCATACAAGTGTTCACATCAAAGAGACGGTAACGTAACCAGTTGCTCAGTGGTCAGTGATTGCTGGCACTGCCGTCGCTAGTCAGGCTGAAGTTGGCCACTAGTTGATGAAAACTCTTCTTCGAATCTAACTGTATCACTTTAACTAACGTTCGACACGGTTATTATGTAAAAAACCTATTAAATGTCAAAAAAACAACGAAATGTCATCTTCCAGATTAGGTAGTTTTCAGGTTGCAAATAGTTCATTCCACGTTTCTCGTTTTGATCGCTGTGCGCGTCTATGGAGGAATGACTCAACTACACGCGTTTTTGGTTGCAGCAAGTATATGTTTTGTGAAGCCGAGTAGTCTATCTTGTTTATCTCTGATAAGATATGAAGAAAGAAAGTTGGTTGAGTTGCAAGATGATTATGGTGTATTGGTCTGCATGTGTATAAAACCAGTGTTTCTGAAGACAGGTTACCTACGTTCAAAGTTATAAATTACGATTTTTTTCCGTTTTTTTTTTTGTGTGGTTCAATAACTTTGAGTAGCATTACTTCTAGGCGCTGATTTGTATCTTCTATTGACATCGCAAAATATATTTCTATAAAATTTAAATTACTGGAAATAAAGAATAATGTAGTAACCTTTTCACTTCCATAAATATTCCTGTCTGTAGCATATTTTCTCACCTCTTACTTCACCAACCATTGATTTTATTTTCTTATCTGTCTCATTTTTTAAATTCAGCAGATTTGCATATGATACAATTTCCAGAATGAATAAGAAAGTGAGTGCATTTGAGTCAAGATACCAATGGAATTATCATCAATACAACATATTATTAGCACACAAATTCTCACTATGTACTGCCGTTTCCTTCCAGCTATAGTATACAACTTACAGCTTAGACCTCCAATAATACCATCTCTGAAGCAGATGTTACATCACATCAGAGCCAAACATTGATAACTGAAGCATCAACGAGTTCACAACAAGTGTCCATCAGCTAGTTATAATTTAATATCTTGTAGAAAAACCTACGCTAGGTCAAACAAAACCTAAGTTATGTCAAAAAAACGACCTAATGTCACTTTTCAACATACGTAATACCCGTGCCAATCGTATCCTCAAAATAGCATTAATAATCAGATAAAAGTACTTCTTCATCGCGTTGTTACGATCTTTGAAATGATTCAGTGTTGAAATCCTTCCAGGAAAGCCACATTTCGTACCAGAAGTGTGACAAGCAAGTTATGAATGTATGAGTGAATCAGATTCAATGAAGATCTTGGTGTACAAGGTGTTATTTTCAGGATTGTTCATTTTATTTTTTATATATTGAAAATGTTTAGTTAATGGATAAATACCGCATATGTATATTGATTGAGTGATCTGGCTAGATTTTATTTGTGAAACACAAAGGTTTTCTTTCAATCAAGGTTTTTAAAATAGTCAAAATGAGGCTGCCAGTTGCTTAGCACATGCTTTCGGTGAGAACGCAAAAGTAACGCAACTGAAATAGAAACAGGGTTGCAGTTTGGTTGCTTTTGATGAGAACAGCATCTTAAAGCACACTAAAGGTACCGCCTACGTTGGACATAATCTGTAATTTCTGGGGTTTCTAATGTTTGAGGTATTGGTAGTGAAAAAAAAATTGAGTATTTTGGGGCGTTCATTTCAGTAAATTCTAAAGTGTCGTGAAACACAACTTGAAACAGGATACAGAATTGTTTTCACGACTATAATTGTATATGTCTTATTGTTTGTAGATGGAATACTGGACCACACGTCATACTGGTTGGTGATAGGGGTGCAGGAGATAATCTGAATGTCACTATGAAAACCTTACCAACAGCTAGTGGTAAGTAGATACCAATAGATTTGTATCTATTTAAAATATTTATTCAGACCAGATCATCAGACTTAAGATCAAATATTAGGATTATTTAGTTTTTATAATACTCTGTTGGAAAAAGCGGCGTCTTATAAACCAGCCAATTTTAACTATGGTTTTGTTACCCCCCTAGGTACAACCTCGACAAAATAGTAGATGTCTGCAAAAAACTGTCTTGAGGTTCCCATTGCATATATTTATTTTGAGTATTGATATTTCAGGGGCTAGTGATGGTGTACCTAGTGACCACACTGAAGATGAAGACTGGTCACGTGGCAGTGGAGAAGATCCAGATGCTGACTTACCACAAACACCCCCAAGGAGGCCTTCCTCAGCAGGTAATGAGATTTTTGAGTATGTCTAAATTGCTATATTGATTAAGATGAAAAAATTAATTGGGCAGATAACTACAGAGTAGGTTTGATAAATAAGGAATATTTGCTCTCAATAGGTTTTTTTGTTCGTAATACATGTGTATCATTTGTCACCAATGTAAAGGTCCTCAACTAGTAAATACAAGTTCATCCGTCAAAATTATTTGACACATTTTCATCCACGTCAAGTGGATAAGCACTCAAATCATTTTTTTTTCACTTTATCTATAAAGTATCTTTAAATATGTCCTCTGATGCAGCTTTACCCATTTATTTTTCCTGGGCTGTTGTATAATGTGTTATAACAGTAATTTACTTTGCTTAGGTGGTGGTGGTGATACTCCTACTTCTACAACGGAGTTAGACAGAAAAGTACAACTAGCTGCGCGATTAATGCAGAAAAACTGTAATTGTTCTAATGGAAAATGTGACAAACTGAATGTACGGAAAGTCGGGGAAGGAAAGTACAACATTGCAGGAAAGAATGTCTTCGTAAGGGTAAATATGTTTATATCTTACTCGTATATTACAGAATCTTGTCAGAAAAATTACATTGCAAATTCATCACTTAAAAATATTGTCCGTTTAAACTTTTATAGTTCATCTTACGTTTCTCGGAAATGGAGTATATTGAGATGAGCTTTGGTACACGCACATGTAACATACAGGATGTTTCAGAAAGTTAACCAGGGACGTAAAATCTGAGGTATCTGCGCACCTAATAATAAATATTTTCTACGTCACTGACCTTTTTGGAGAACAGTTTTGCATTTTATAAAATACCATTTAATTTTCCAAAAATTCTGTCACTTAAGGAATTTTTGTGAGATCACTCATCTTATAAATATTTGGGTTTCAACATTTGAGGTAAAATCCTAAAATATAATTAGCCTCCCCTATTCTGAAAACACCATGAAGCTTGATATTGGAAACACTATATGGCATGTGAAGAAAGCTATGTCACCTTGCCCTTAAGCTGTAGCGTACAAGCTTACCATTCATTAAACATTCCCTGTGCACACCACTGCTTTTAGCGGCATGTTCATTTTTGTTTATAGATAAGCTTCAAAACAAAGAAAACGTTTATTTGAAAAATAAATAAATAAAGCTAATAAGAATTAAACATGACAGCAAATAAACATTACATTTGATACAACTTATGTAGTTATTTCTGAATTTATGAGGGACAAAAAATAATGCTGAATAAATGCTATAACAACCTGAAGGAGGTGTTGAAAGGGATCACCTCTGGATTCAACACAAGTCTGCGCTCGACGCCACAAAGACAGTCTGGCTCTTTGGAAAATACTGGCGTAGTAGTCGTAGTACGAACAGTGCTGAAAACCTTCTGTATACTTTGTCCTCATATTTCATGTCCGAGGTTACTAACGATTTGTGATATCTTCTTTGTTGAGTTCACTTAATCCGAAATGCTAGAGAATTTTGAAAAAAAGGCCGATAATTTCAGAAGTGAAATAATAAGAATTTTACTCAAATTGATTGGTTCCACAAACACTAGTTGTGCATTTAGACTAACTGAAGAATATATCATAGGTGATACCTGGAGAAGTATATCATAATACCAGTGGCGTGGATAGACCAGGTTTAATGAATCGTAAGCTTCTACGGTACTTATCGAGGATAAGACACGCATATTATAATAATAATAATTTATTCGCACAATTCATTACAGTATAAAATATTTAAGAAGGCAAGAAATAAGCGAATAAATGAGAGTCCCACAGGAAGGAATACTCCTTGTACGTGGGTAAATTAGTGATGTAACAACATGCCATAGCTTTCTTCAAATGTAATATAGTGTTTCCAGGTGTTTTCAGAATAGCGAAAGCTAAACCTTTTCATAAGAATATTTTGGATCTTACCTCAAATGTTCAAACTTAAATATTTCCAATACGAGTGACAAAAATGCTTCAAGAGACAAAATTTATGGCAAATTGAATGGTGTTTTATAAAATGCACTTCTTTTCTCCGAGATCTCAACTCAGTATCTTTACCATTGGTATATTTTTTTAAATTTCGTAAATAAAACTTCATCAAACTGTATCTCGGTAGGTGAGCATCTTTAGACTCATATTTATAGGAACTTTTTTTGTTATTTTTGGATACATTTTCTACCCTAGAAATATTGGCACGTCTTTCTAAAACCGGTGGCGTACTTTTTTACACTAAACGTAAAGCTCATACACCTCGTATGAAAAAGATAAAAAAAAACTGATGTCTGTCTACAGTATCTTACAATAATATCAAGCACCGACTCCGCAATTTTCTAGATCTTGAAAAATCCAAAAGTTTAAACATCTTTTAAAAATCTGAGTTAAAAAATATTAAGAAACCCTAGATATTGAAGAAATGTAGATTTTTGCGGATATTATTGGAATATGGAAGTTCTGAACGGTTTAAACATTGACATTTTGTCTTCCAGCTTTTGAAAGGTCAACACATGATGGTCAGAGTAGGTGGCGGTTGGGACACTTTAGATCACTTTCTACTACGTCACGACCCCTGCCAGGTGAAGGTCGTCCCTAGGGACAGCCCGGATAGCGCTTCCAAATACTTGCACATTCGCGCTAAATACCGTAGCCCACCGCCTCGAGACACCATGGCTTGTTGAGTATTATATACTATTTTTAGTACATTCATTCACATGTACTTCCAAAACAAGAATTTGATGTCGGATAGAATTAGGTGACAAGTTCAGCAAGCAACAGTTTATTTTGGGGATCACAAAATTTACAGAGAATCGAATTCAGATTCAAAACAAGCGAACTTTTGGTCAAAAGAAATCAGTAGAAAAATAGGAGCTGTCATTTTATCACTTTCCGTGCCCCCTACGTTTTGTGAAAAAATAATGATGCATATCATATTAGAGAGTTTTTAGTACCACACAAATAAGTTTCTTTAAGCACTTCCGTTACGTTATTTTTTTGATAGGGATAGCAAATAAGGATGGTTAGAAAAACAAGAGTTTTTATGATCACTAAAGTGAACCGTCGTAATTTGACAGTACTGCCGAGTGGCTATCTTGACAGGATGCTTTTTTTTTACTTTGACGTAACGGTAACTCCAAAATTTCAAAACCTATGTATGTTCAATTTTTCGTGGAAAAGTTCTGCTAATATTCGTGTCCAAACCGGACAAGAAATGAGTAGGTTTCGAATCATAGAATTATAGAACGCTAATGGACCACAAAGCGATCAGAACTAAAATGAAAAGCTTCCTTACCACATTGCATATATAACAAAAATTGTGACAATTTAATTAATTGAGAACACTGAATAATTTCTTGCATTTATTTTATTCTGCGACCTATTCAATTTCAACCAATCTGTTTTTATAACTTTTATTTTAATTAAGCTACCCCAGCTTTCCGAATTCCAGAAACTGTGAGTAAGGAAAAAATGACCTTACAAAATAAATACTCCCTATTCTCCGTAACTAACAAAGCTCTCTTAGTTCGATAACGGAAAACGAAGGATTGTCTCGCTAATGTACAAAACCGAAATACCGAATATCATAAGGAAGCAGCAAAACAAGATCACTAAAACCTGTATTGTTGTGAAATTTACGATTGGAGGCACCATTCGTCATCAACGAATAGAATTATTTTTTTTTTCCTTTTTGGTGATGTTTTTTTCAGAATTCAAATTATTTTGTCGACAAAAAAGGGTTTTTGAATCTTGTAATAGCTGCAGATTTTTAGCGCTTTTTAAAATTCGTCATTCTTTGTATTACATATTTAATAATATATCGCCTGTCTGAATTTGTAGCAGATTAAAGAACCATAATTCTAACCGACTAAGTAATGAGATTATTGTTGGCATTATTCCAAAATTAGATTTTGTTATTTTATTTCGGCTTTCTAGTGTGATTTCATATAATAAATTTATTTTGATTTTTGTTATTCTATTTCGGCTTTCTGGTGTGATTTCATATAATAAATTTATGTTGGTTTTTGGGGGTTATTAGGCTTATTCAATTCCTAGTAATTACTCAAACATAAATGTTCTAGCCATGGAGATATTTTAAGTTCATTTGTTTTTAGAAATCTGCCTTAAAAAAATAAATTCCTCGAAATTCAAACAAGTTATGTAGGATACTTGAACTATGCAAATTGAAACATCAAAACGTTCAAGTTGAATTTACATAGATGAAATGTCTTTTATGCTCGTAGCTGTGAAATCATGCCAACATTCAACGCTACGTCAATTTATACCAAATAACTTGCCTAACTACTTATAGTTATCTGAAGCAGCAACCACTAAAATTATTTTAAAATGTATGACCATATAGCATTTAGAATATATACTGTCTTCCTGAATATTTGGTAGTGAAATTTTCTAGTATGAGTAAACTACATACTATTTGTGGTACGTATGTAATTTTTATGTAACTGAAGAGTATTGTCACATTTTGGTATATCTTTATATTGCATTTATTTAATTGTTATTTGTACTGATAAATTGACTGATTATCTAAGTACGTAAAAGTATTGATTGATGTATTATACTTGAAGATAGTCAACCTAATGCTATATTCCCGTCTCCAAAAAATTATCCGAGATTAAATGAGATACCATAGCGTCATCTATGAGAATTTGTCACAGCTGTCTCTCGTCTCCGCACTAATTAGAAATGTACTTTGAAAAGGCTAGTCAAGCGTCTCATAGATGCCGTTGTAGCCAAATATATTTTATATGCTTATATATTTATTGGCTACAGCGCCATATATGACACACTGGGCTAAGATTTCCTTATTTCTAATTAGAGTGGAGATTACATCTCGTATAATTTTTTAGACTTGGGAATATAGTATTAGGTAGAATACGTTCAATCAATGATAAAAGTTCAGTGATATAATATTTTAGCGAGGGTAGAGGTTGATTTTTTGCTTTAATTTTAGTTTTCAGTAATTTTAAACGTATTTTCTTGGTAATATAAAATATTCGTATGCTTGTGTCATTAGTTAATTCATATTCATCTCCAGCAATATTCCCAAAATTTTGTCACCCGTGGTAAGGGCAAGCATATTCTCCATAATGACCGGGGTCTGACTGCCGTATCTTTGTACAGTGCTCTGTATCCGTGCGAAATTTTATTCATACATCTGGATAAGAGATGATTGAAAATTATTTCCAACATCCTACATTTGAGAAGAAAGGCATTTATCAATATGGTTACATATCAGAGTTTTCCTTTGAATATTTTAAATTGCTCTAGAAAACATCCTGTATATATTCAGTGGAAGTGCTGCTTCGGTTTATTATTTATAAGTACCATTTTCACCGCCAAGTTCAAATGAGAATGTTTAAGTTTTGTTATGTTTGTAGAATTTTGTTTTATGTAGTTTTATATATACACTAAGTAATTAATGATACACGATTTTTGTACATATTTTTCTACGATTAAACCATTATATTATGACTAAAATATAGTATTTTTTTGCACCCAACGATTGCACCTTATCATGCCATTTTGGGCTTAACTATTGATAGTAGAATAGCAAGCTTTTTAGAGAGGATAAAAAGAATGGTAAATAATTAATGGATGTGAGAATGTGAATCTGAGTAAAGATATTTTCAGGAACATCTAAAAGAAATAAAAAGATTCATTTGTCCACGTGTGAAGATTGAGAAGGTACCAAATTTTGCGAAGAAATTCACATACTATACAAAAGTCGTCAGAGTACTAAGGCCGGGAGAATCTGCAGTATAGAGTAAATTGCTATGAACCCAGCTTATTGTGTACGATTAACATCTTGAATTCTTGTTGTAGTCACCGTTTTTGGCGGGTCAAAGTAAGACTACCAGTATCCCTTTATGTATCTCCATCTCCCTCATACATACATATGCAACCTACGATTTTTAGTTACGTGTCTCCGTCTCGAAAACTTTGTCGTTACGTACGAGTGCCCTTCAATCATATTTGTCAGAGTGACAACTTACTTGACATCGGCGTGCAACTCGAGTTGTTTTCTTATCAATCTTCAATATAAAATTGTACAACGCCCGGAAATACGACCAATGGAGAAGGCCGACAGCCCGTGCTAAATATATTAGAATATTCCCAGGAGGAGAATGAAAACAGCAATCCCGTTACCCACTTCATGCGTACCGGAGAGAGTAGCCGATGCGCTGAAGATTGGTCTGCGCAGTGTTCAGCGAATAAAATCAGGACACAAGAAAGGTTTGCCCATAGTAACACCTGAGAAACTCACAAAATCAAAAAATGCAAGACCGATGCAACTAGGAATACTTTCTACGATATGAGAAGTAAAGGACAACATCACGACCTCTGCGCTTCATCAGTAGCTTAAAAAAGCTACATATACAACGCCTCGGATTCAAGTTTAAGGCGTCTGTTGAGAGTTTGCGGTTTTCCTACAAGACAGAAGATAACCGCCGACTCATGTGTGAAAAATCAGACGTTTCCAAACGTATCTTTTTTGTGAGACATTTTACAAATAGCGTGAATAGTGCAATACGTTTTCTTAGATGAAACGTGGCTACTTGCCAAAGGGTCGTTTAAACTAGTTTGGCAAGATAAAAACGTAAAGACTTTGAAGAGCGGCCATCAGGGTACCGGCAAGCGGTATGTTGTTCTCCATGCCGGGACCAAGAGATGCTGCATTGTTATTTGCTACAAAATAAAAAAGTGCTGACTACCGCGATTCTATGGACAATGATTCTTTAAAAAAATGGGTATGTGAAAAGCTGATACCAGCGTTACAAGAGCCATCTTTAGTAATCCTGGATAATGCCTCTTATCATAGTGCCTTAACAGAAAAGATACCCAATTCCACTTGAAGTAAAATGCAATTGAAGCAATTTCTGCAAGACAAAAAGATATATTTTGCTGATGACGCTTTTAAATTCGAGCTTTTAAATCTATGTGGCCTTAATAAACCATCGGCTCCAAGGTATACCATAGGCGAAATATTACATGAACATGGACATCAAGTTTTGCGGCTCCCCATTTACCATTGTCAATACAATCCTATTGAGTTAGTCTGAGGAGTAGCCAATCAGTACTATGAACATCATATTGGAGAAAATGGCTATGGTGACAAGGAAGTTTTGAAAGTTTGGGACGATAATCTAGCGAAGGTGACTCCTACAGTTTGGTCCAAGTGTGTGGAACATACTGAGGACTTGATTAAAAACGACTCGCACAAGCATCAAGTGTTTAATAGGGAGGATACTAATATAATCATTCACTTGGGAGAAAGTTCAGATGATTCTTATGAAAAAATTGAATAATTTTGAAAATTTATCATTCTTAATTTTCTATGTAGATTGTTAAATATTTTGGTTGATATGGAAGTTACAAGCTTGATGTTTATTAAGACGACATAGATTCAAAAGTTCGAGTTTAAGAGCATCATCATCAAAATGTATTTTTTTGTCTAGGAGTAATTTATTTAGTCGCATTTCACTCCAGGAAGAATTGAGCATTTATATTATTGAAGTGGTTATTCTAAAGCTCTCATAAGCTTGTCACATATCCACATCCAATGTTAAATGTTGCATCAAGTTAGGAAATAGATGTGTTATTTTGTATTATATTGTAAATTCCGTATGTATTTTTTATTTCAACTCTAAATAACATCAAATGGCGTATCATATTCTACCCATGTTTATGTACCAGATTAGATTCTTAAGAATCACGATTAGTAAATAATTTTTAATCGGTTTCCCTCGGTTAGGAAAATTAAGATCCACCCATGTACGGAGACTCGATCTGCTTACTTATTTCATATAACGTTGGTGACGTAACCGCCAAGAACAGTGACTACAACTATACCTAGTTTTTTGTATACAGGGTGTTACTCAATGGTAGGCTGTAATTACGAAGGCGCATTCCTGAACCAAATTCAAGTAGAAAACTTCATATAAACATGTTCCTAAAAGGCCTGACTTTCAAGACACAGGGTTTCAGATTGAAAAAAAAGTTTTTTAACAGAGAAGAAATTATATCAATCTGTCATGTAAAGTCAAATATATGTTAAGAACAACATTCCCTAGGAACCATCAAAACTGATTTGAAATTACTTAATTTTTTCGACATGTAATTATGTAAATTCTTTTTATTTTTCCCTCAAAATCGGTTACGACTTACTGCGTGGTACCAACATACAATAAAGATTTGTCATCAGCTACTTGATCCGAAAAAAATATGTTTTTTTTTTTTAGTCAGGGGCGTAATTTTTTTTATCAACATCCTTTATGAGGCTGCCCCCCGACACGCCACTGTAATTTATAATCAACTTTTAATTAGCGCTAACTTAACGGGTTACTGGAATGAGCAACACTGTCAAATCAACAAAATCGGCATAGGGCTGTTTGGGATATTAATAAAAGACGAAATTCTTTTTGAAACTTTTGAAAACTAATCTGTTTACGACATATTTAGGGCCGTATCGTCAGTCGTTCCATCTCTGGTCGTTCCTATGCGGGGTCCACATCAAAGCAACAAAACAAAAACAAGGAACAAAACAGAAACGCAACAAATGAGCAACTTTTTGGGAACAAAACAAAATGAAAACTTATATCAAGAGACAAAAAAGTTTTCAGTTGATTTGTTTCGTGCAGTTCACACCAAAAATTATCAGAGTGAAAATATGTGGCGTTTTTATGCTGAAAGGCAGAAGCGCAAAATAATTCCTGCTGTTTATGTGCTTCTCCAGAGTTGTGACCGGGAAAACAAAAAAAACGTATTTGGGTGAAACTATCTTTACGTAAAAGAGATGATCGTGGTATTGAAAAATTATTGTCCGATTTGCGAAAGATGATATTGGATTGCGAGGAGAAAATTCTAGTTTCGAGAACTTTTTAAGAATGTCCAGTGAAACTTTGAAGAATTAATACAGTTGATCGGTCCTAAAATGTATAAAAAAATACCTACTTCAGAAATAATATTAACGTACCTAGTTGAACGTTTGGCCGTAACACTAAGATTTTTGGCGACCGGAGGCTCTTATCATAGCTTGATGTATCAGTCAAAAATATCAAAACAAGCTATATCGGTAATAATACCGGAAACTTGTGATGCTCTAACTGAAAGCCTCAAAGAATATATTAAGGTAAGTATTTGATACTAGTTTCTGTTTTATATTTGTTTCGCAACAAAGTACACATCGCACCGACAATGTTGCCTGAAATGAAAACAAAACAGAAACCTTTTGATCTTTACCAATTCGCGACGGGAACGCCAAAAGTTACCAGAAACAAAACACGAATTGTTGACGAAATGTTACCAATTTGTTGCTTAATTGTTGAAAAACATTGAGTTGCTGTTTTGTTGGTTTGGTGTGGACCCGGTACCACCCGGCACTACAATATTGTAGCACGCCTTCAAGGCCTCCTTGATTTTCATGGTTTTCCCGTTCTTCAGAAAGGCGCTCTATTTTGAGGTTATGTTACAATTATCTATTTGCATCAAATTGTTCATGTTTTCGGTTTTTATCATCTGTTTTATAAGCCCGAAGTCTCCTACAGTTTATTAAAAATAAAACATAACTAGGAGAGTGCTGGCGCTGACCCGGCACAGTAGAAATCTAGAAACATCTCAGCCTTTCTGAAGGAGAGAAAAATTCTGCGAAAATCAAGGAGGCGATAAAGGCGACCTACAATTATTGTTGAAACGACTAACGATACGGCCCTTTTATGTTGATATCTTCTACTTAACACGTTACCTGCCAGTTCGGTCAAAATGACCGAAAGGAGTGGTATGCAATCAGGCCGCGTTGGTCATTATGACCGAAAATTTCAACGGTTCTATACTCGCTTCTAGAGCGCCGTCGGTCAGGAGCTGTACCATGATATGCATAATGCGTGACCGAAACGGCCTGACGAGCAAAAGGCATATGAAAACTTTTTGTTTTTTCTGTTTGGCGATTTGTTTTTCTCATTTTTTATTAGATTATTAAACACATTAGTTTACTGTCAAATTTTATTTTATAATATATGATTTAAGATTAATGACATGAACAGAAACATTGGAATGAAGAACATTTTATGAATTTAAAGATTTCTATGTATTCTGTTGTAGCACGTCAGACACAGAAACGGTTCATTTGGACATCCTGAACAAAACGTGGTTACTTTCTTGACTTTTCTTCTTTCTTTGGGCTCTTTTCCATCTTGAACTGCTTTTTCATAGCATCCCTTGCCTGCAGCAATACCGATAACATTGCCTGTACATTCCCTGTATAAAATATAGGCATTTATCAAAGCTGTTGATAACAGTAACTCAATGGCCAGTTTTTTGTACCATTTCACAGTTTTTCGTAGAGGTGAAGAATACGCAGCCATTTGATCGGATAAATCGACAGACGATTTTGCCTTATTGTAGTCTGCTACAACCTTAGGTTTAGTAAAACTTTCACCGTTCCTTTTCGGAACATCAACCATTTCATTGGTGTGTTTGGTTGATAACATAATAACGTTCCTTTTATCCTTCCAATTGAGAACGGTAATTCCTTTGATATTCTCTTTCGAAATTATTTCACCCCTTTTCATTTTACTTTTTTGAGTTACTTCTTTCGGCACATTTTTTTTATTTCTCCTCAATGTTCCCACTAAATGAGTTTTTTTATCGAGAAGCTTGTTAGCAAGATCGATGCTAGTGTACCAGTTATCTGTGTAAACCGTACGGCCAACATTCAAAACAGATTCACATAGTTCCATAACCACGCTAGTTGGTGTTGTTTTTCGTACTTCAGGATTTTTCCCAGCATATATTTTCAGACGTAAAGTATATCCATGTCCTGTACAAAGCTTGAACAATTTGATACCATATTTATGGCGCTTTTGTTTCATGTACTGACGCATAATCAGCCTGCCCCGAAAATGAATTAACGACTCGTCAACACACACTGATTCCCCAGGATGATAAAGAGCCTCAAAATTCTGCACAAACTTATCGACTAGGCCTTGAATTTTATGTAGTCGATCCCCTTCTCTGCATTCATCATTGTTGGCAAAATGAATCATACGTAGCAGTATTTCAAACCGATTCCGAGGCATCACAATGGATGCAAACTCGATTTTGAAAATGGGATCTCTGCTCCAATAATCATTGATATATGGCATTTTCACCAATCCTATATAAGCAATTAGTCCAAAGAAACGTTGGTGAAATCGTGACGAGGCAGAAATATTAGAATGATTTTCTAACTGCTGAGTAGCATAAATGTTGGTTTGGTCTGCAATCATTTGGAAAATGGAATCTTCAACCACTGCCATGTAAAAATCTTTCGGATGACCTTGTACTAATTCTTCAATCACCGTTGGACTTACCCCAAACTACTCCCGAAACTCGCCAAATTGCATCTGTTGGCCGCGGGGTAAGTACCAGGTGTCATTATTTTCATCGTTTACCTGCGTATTTGCTTCACCAAAATCATCCTCTGAAGTGCTAGGATTGTTGGAATAAGTCATTATTGCCGAGGCCTTTTTACGATTCTGCTGTGCATCATCTCGTGAAGATTGACTGGATGACGATTCACCTGAAATAAATCATTTTTATATTCTTGTATATCTACCTATAATTCATGCTTTAGTATATTATTATTTATATAATTTTTATATTACCTTCTGAGCTAGGTTGAAAATCTTTATCTCTGACCGAGTCGTCTGTGTCTTCATCAGACATATCACGCAGGATCATCATTTCTGCTTCTGTAAGTTTATTTTCATTACGAATAAACGAATACTTTCCGTTTGACACCTCGTGAATAGGAAATAAAATTGTGAAGTCAATAAGACGTGCAGTACACCCGACAGCTAATAATCAACTGCTACAAGATAAGCGCAAACTCGCCTCTCTGCCGGCTAACCCTATTCTTCCGACCGCGTGTAAAATTAAAGGTTAGGTGACCGAAGTAGTGACCGACGCGGCGCAGAGATACCAAATTAACCTTGCACGCCGCGTCGGTCATTTTGACCGAAAGCACTAAAAATGGGATCATTATCACTATAGATAATATACAGTGTTAAAACATATTTATTTTATTCTAATACATCAATTAGGGATGAAAAGATCTTTTGGCGCATGGTGTACAAATCGTTCATAGCACGTTGGCAGGGAACGTGTTAAATTTGATCCAGGAATAGGAATGCGCCATTGTAATCACAGCCTCTCTCATCAAGTAAAACTCTATATAATATTTGAAGTTCCTAGGAGAAACCTCAGGTAGCCAACAAGAATATCTTTGTCAACAAGTTTAGCCTGAATATTAAAGAATTTAGTTACATGACAATGCTGAAATATGAGACAAAGAAGCAATATAATTATGCGCTATTCCTCATCAATAATTTCATTTAACAGCACTGTGAAGTTTCTTATTTTGTAATACAATTTCCAAAATAGGCAAGCTGTAAAAAATGGCTTTTAACACACCAGAATATATGTTAAATCTGTGTTGTTAGGATGAGGCTAATTTCAAGTGGAGTAAGAAAGTAGAATTATCATACCTAACAGCATGTAGTAGGTGGAAAAAATCATTTTTATTGATTACCTTTCATGAGTTATAGAATTGTAACACATTGAAACGGTAGAATTTTGTAATCCGTTAAAATATTTTTGTGGTGCGATTGCCACAGAACGCTGGATAGATTTTTTCAAACGATATTTAGTAATCAACATGCTGTTTAGCAAATCTAATGCCACTGGTCTCACATATTATGTATAAAGCTATAGGTTCACGGTTATAAAGGATTATAAGCTCAAACTTTGCTCTATTTAAGTAGATATCACATATTCAAGCAATATTTGTATAATAAAGCAATTTTATAAATAATTGTTGTACTTGATTTTTAAACATTCTTCTAAAACATATGCCTTATCTCGGATTTCAAATTGAACCAAAGAAGAGGAGATAAAATAAATCAAAAACTTTTTATTTTCTTATATGCGTTCAAAAACATTGATTCGTCCGGCCCTGGGCAACCACCTCTATACAACAAAAATCTTAGCTAGCAAAATGGGCGTGTGGCGTATTGGAAAAGAGACGTTTCCCATTTGATCCATAACGACACGCCCTCTTATCGTCGACCACTGGCAAGTGGTGCTTCTCTCACAGTAGCTTGTCTATGCCATATGTCACTAGTCCATGACCATGGTCGGTCAACAAAGATCCTAACCTTTCACTGACGTGTCAACAAAACCCTAATTTTTTTAATAGCCAAAATAGAAAATATGAAACCCGTCTTTCGTTTATTGCTACTTGGATTATTTTTTCTGTTTGTATTTAATTCAATTTATAGCTTGTATGGCATCTTCGTCCATTCAAAATGTAACAAAGGAGATATTTGTTATAAATCGTTTTTAAATTCGCGTCCAAGCTTAGATCTACATGTTTTTGTATCAGATAATTCGCCTAGTAAGAGAACCGATGGAGTATTACATCTTATCAATTTTAATTACCACGAAGAATTTGAAAAGTAAGTACATAATTACACTGTTGTGCTTTTTAAGTGTGGTGCTGTGGTGTGTGAGCTTCTCAATATGTCCCCCTTCAAGCTTCTCGAGAAGCAGATTTGTTCAATACAAATGTTCTGAATTCTGGATCCAGACTATTATTCTGTTTTCTCTAATACCTGAAAATGCCCATCACCCAATGAATCAAATGTTTTCTACTCTACATAGGCTGTACATATATTTTGTATTTTTTAGGGAAATAGGATTGGAAATATCTAGGTCAGTCAGAAACAATGGAAGCTTATTCATACATACCATTATCATTCCGAGCAAAGCTTATGATTCCAAAGATTATGGCTTGAGAGAACTATTGAATAATGAGCAAAGCACATATATTAAAAGTAAGCTGACAGCATATTCCATACCCATCAGTGCTGCCTTTAACCTGCTCAAAGAACAAGGCACAAAGTCTTCTGCTCAACCAGCAACACATTTACGTTCCAAATATTCAATTCTTATGTGTACTGAGGAACTAGAGCTTCCACATACAAACTTACCTCCAGAATTACTTAATCATTTGAGGGTGAGCAGAAATAAGGAATTCCTTCCTATTGCTCATCAAGATGTGCTGAATATGAGGCTGAAGGACTTAGTCGAGATAACACCAGAAACTAAAAGAATGAATTTTATATTTGTGTATAAACCAGCTACTTTGGGAAAATTGAGATTTTTATTGCATATTGAAGCAACACTATACCAGTTCTTGAAGTTGGGTTTTACCACAAAAGATCTTGACGAAGTCAAAGGGGTATTTGTGGATACAAATTTGTATCTTTTATGTGCTACTTTCTTCATAGGAAGTGTACATGTAAGTTTGTAAGAATATTTGATATGTTTTTGAATATCTTTTTCTCAATTTACAACACTAAATATGCCAACACTTAATACATGTGTATTTCTACCATAGCTAGTCAAATGGCTTTTGCGAATAATGGTACATTTTACTTATAAGTCTTACTTAAAATAAACAGATTACAAGTAGAATATTATATATAACTAGTAGAAAAAAGCATGAAGTCAGTTGTGCTCATTTTCAAAGCAAAAGTTTGTAACAGGTCTTATGACCAGTGAATGGTATGTTTAGTGTTAATAAAATTATCAGAAAAACATTTATCATATAATATTTTTATTCTTGTAGCTGCTATTGGACTTTCTGTCCTTCAAAAATGATGTAAGCTTTTGGAAATCACAAACTTCTATGGCCGGTCTTTCATCACGCACAGTATTATGGAGAGCATTTTCACAAACAATTGTATTTTTATATTTGCTAGATGAAGGAACTTCATTATTAGTTCTTATTCCCAGTGGAATAGCTACCCTTATAGAGGTATGTACATTAATAAAACTACATTTTTTCAATAAGATCTTCATAAGAAAGGGTACACAAGTTGCCTATCTTGGTTCAATACTGTAAATTTGTCCAACTTTGGCATTCCTAAGAGTACATAAAAATAAATGAAACCTTTGAACAAACATTTAAAAACTATAGTAATTGATAACACTATCACAAATCAACTTTTATATTGATAAGTTTTTAGCACTCTTCAAATTATGTAATTGAATTTTTAGTTTTGGAAAGTGAGCAAAGTATTTAAAACTAGCATATCTTGGGATGGTCTGAAATTCAATAAAAGCAAAGATGAGACCTCAGATGAAAAGAAGACAAGGGAATATGATGAAGAATGTATGAGATATCTAAGCTATGTGTTGTATCCTTTATGTATAGGGGCTGCTGTATATTCCTTGATTTATCAACCGCACAAGAGGTAAAAATTTAACTATTATATAAGTTTTAACTTGACCTTGCTGTCACACCACCTATTAAAAAGTTTAGGTCAAGCATATATCAAAGTCACGTTTAAGTTCACTGAACTTATATTGTCCTTAGACCTCTGATTTTTAAACTGAATTCAGTGGCAGGCAACAGTGTTAAACAGAAAACTGAAATAAAATATTACTTATAAATTCACCACAAGGGTTGCAGCTTCTTCATATTGTCAATTTACCAAAGTAATCTTCTTCAAATCTGCTGCAAAAATTAACATAAAAATATTCAATTGACAAAATTTGTCAGAGCCCAAACATACATTTTTTATTTTAAACTTTAAATAGCTTTTTTGTTAATCAAGTGATATTAGTTTTTTTCTGTATTTTTATTATTCCAATAATGTTCCGATTTGAGAATGTGCTCACTATGTAGTAAATAATCCTAAAACTGAGAAATTTCCCATAATTATGCACAGAAATACAAATACTCTAATTGGCTCTTTGATACTGTATGAAAGAGCATGGTATTTTCCAGTCACAACGAAGGAAGGTGAAAAACTGAACTTATAGACCCTCTCTCTTCATGACTGAATTTTGTTGCAGCTGGTATTCATGGACAATAAACAGCCTGGTAAACGCTGTGTATGCATTTGGTTTTCTTTTTATGCTGCCACAATTGTTCATCAACTACAGGTTAAAATCAGTGGCAGCTTTGCCCTGGAGGGCTTTCACATATAGAGCATTCAATACGTTTATTGACGACATATTTGCATTTATCATAACCATGCCGACTGCTCACAGGGTGGCTTGCTTCAGAGATGATGTCATTTTCTTGATATATCTTTACCAGAGATGGTAAGTATAAATAATTATTCTTGAAAATCATTTAGACATATCGATTTAGGTCTAGTCTATCATTTATTCACCTATGCAAAAATTCGAGAAGGCGTCTATAAGATAAAATGAATTTGTTGTTGAGGGCAAGATACAAAACGTCATATTAAAACTCTAATTATGTCATCATTTAGAGGTTGAAAAGTGGCAATTTTAATGTACTTTTTATTTTGAAATCCCATTTCAAATAAAGCCAGGAAGAATAAAATGATTTTGGGAAAATTCGGTTTCTTTCGTGTATCTCCTGAAATACCCGGAATTACGAAACTTTATAAGTGCCATCTTCTTTACGCAAAATTACTCCCATTTAACCACTTCGTATCGCTTAACGTTTCCTGAATCCCAATGGATGGATTATATTTTTATTGTTTCTAAGGAACCTACTGCAATCTTACTTGATAGCAGGGTTGTGATGGCGGAAATTGTATGCAAAATATAGCATAGGGTTAGGTATCTTCTGGAAGAAAATGGTAAATTAAAGAAGTCATGCGCCATCTAATTTGTACTAGCGAGTCTTGCTTTACACATTTTTTATTCTGCCAGGTTGTACCCAGTAGACAAGAGTCGAGTGGACGACATTACTGGAGAACATACTGAGGAGACGGTGAAGGAGAAAAAAGAAAAATAGGGATACTGCATTATAAAATTCCTGAAACTTGTTCTGTGATTTTCTTCGTTGTTAATGTATACGTAACTGATTAATTGACACCATAGTAATGCTTCTTTCCTTGTTTGATCAAGATCGTTATTTCACGCACTTGGAGTATTGTTTTCATATGTTCAATAAATTTTGTTTTGCAGACTTATCGGCTGAAACATGTGAAATATGGCGTCATTAATGATAAAAGTTAATGTTTGCTCGTGAATTAGACGTCAAATAACCTCTGGTAGTTACTAGGGATTCATTATTGTTTATTTGTTATTGTGACTCAAAGTACATAATTATTTTATTTCAATATATACAACGGTCAGAGATTAAGATATAGGTAAGGTTGAATTTGTTATGTTTTTCTCGTTTATCTACAATAAATTCGATTTCTTTATGTACGTGTTTTATTAATAAGAGCATTCCAATCCTAGCCCTAAACCTTTTTAAAAAATGTTGCAATTTTTTCTGTTACATCTCAACCTCATGAATCAAATACCTCAAGCAAGAAAAGACTTGGTACAACGTTATTTTCTAAATCTTTTCTGAAAAACGACAAATTATGGTCAAGAATACTCGATCAAATTCAGATGAACAGATTGACTCGGTATTCTTCCCGTATAGCATGAATCAATTAGTGGATTCAAAGATTCCATCGATGATGATTTTAACCTTTGAAATAACCAAATACGGCAACAGGCGACGTCACTTTTTTGACCGATATCCCCTTCTCAAGCTGACTACAGATATTCCCCACATCAAGGAATGTTGGAATTGTGTGTAGAAATTCAAACATAACATAAACACTGTATTTTTAATTTTTCGCTAATTTTAAGAATTTTTTGGCCGCGCCCAATTTCGAGGTGCATTGTTCTGATTCTTTTTGTTTTCGCTTCGCCGCCACTAGGTCGATTTTCAAAACCTGCCAAGGTCTTTCGAACTTGACTTGATGACCTGTTGCGAAAAATGGTACGAATATCCAAGCTGTAGCATAGGGTCAAAGATTACCGGGCAGACAACAAATATCCTGGAAATGCTGTTTCTCCTGATCAACAAAAAATATATATTTCAAATTCAAAAATTTCCGCGTTCAACATACTTTCATATCCCCTGTTATTTTGACGTAAGAACATAGTAAAAAAAGTATTACCTAATACATTATAAATACCATATCACATTTCATTTGATTAGACTTTTAAATACCTATACGTATAGCATGTCTGAGAATTTTCTGTACGACTGGCAACACAACCAAAGATGCTACATGATAGAGTCCAGCAAAGATAGAAGATGGCTATGTACGCCTCGACACATTTAGTAGCGTGTGGGACTTTCAATCTCTCAAAATATGTAATGTGATAAGTAAATACAATGAATAACAGTAATCTCAGTTATAAAATACACTCTGTGATGACTTGCCAATAAATAATAATTATTAGTGATATACCCTATTTCAGGAGTATCCATCACAGTACACTGACAGCTGATCATTTAGTAATATCTCAAAATTTCCCATATCGGCACAGGACACATAATTCTGACGGATCCGTCAACGTCAGGTAGTCAGAGCAGTATTTTTGTTTTTTGTAAGCTACAGATTCATTGTGTACTTGCTAACAGCTCTTTTATTTGTAAAAGTCTATTTGCATTAAAAAACAAAATGCTACAAACAAATTTTACTAGATTTACACCAGATTCATTATTGCCAACTTCCTGGTCAGCTGTTCACCTCAGTAGACGTCAAAGCGTGATGGATACTTGTGAAATAGAGTATAGATATTTAAAAATGTATAAAGGGCTTAATAGTAATGACAACTGTGTGGCTAACAAGCCAAAAAATAAGCTCTGCACTCTGCGTGAATGCACAGTACACACATTCATTATTAATGTAGGGATTTTTTCCTCATTATTTACCTGGGAGGAGAAATCGAGAAATGTAACTTCTTAGAGGTGATAGGTAAATAATCACGACGTTTCAGGTTAGTAGTAAAAAAAGTGGTTCTTCCGAGACAACTATGATGCTGTAAAAAGTTGATTGCATTGCTAAACTCAAACCTTGTTTCATAATCATGTCATGTCCATTCACCCTATTTTTAACGCATCATCAATGATGAACTGTAAAATTGGTGGAGACACGTCAAAAGGAAATTCGAGCTAGTGAGAAAGCAAAAGTATCTGCCCATAGATATATATATATATATATATAATATATATATATATATATATATATAATATATATATATGTCTCTAAATCACCTTAAAATAAACTAAAAACATTCACATTTTACAACCATCTCTTGGTCTATTAGCAATTACTAAACCAAACTTTCATTTTTATACACCCGTTATGTTTATTCGTAGCTTGAATAAAATGTAGGTGGTCCCATTCACCAAAATTGAATATGCTCATATGTAATTTTTGAATATGGTGAATACTCATCCACAACTAATATGATCACAGATTAGGTACATTGAACAATTCGTCAAATGCTTAGTGGCCGTGTTTTCCTCATCACGAAACAGAATTCTTATCAAATTGAAGGGTGCATGAGCATACTCTATTTATAAACATATTTATTTTTACTCTTGTTTTCAATAATGGCGGACGTGCTTCACAAAGTTCATGCACCATTTTTATAAATCACGAAAAGTCGCAATGTAATTTTCTTAGAATGCACATGCTTCAGTTTACGCAACTCGAACATTTACGCTTGTTTTACGCTATTTTTTAAACAAGTTTGCTTCCGCCAGCCGCGATCACCTCTAGTGACGTCACACTCAGCAAATACGGCATTAATTAGAATGCATGTAGGTACATGCTTTTCATGCAGATTTGGCGTAGGTTAGGTGTTCCATAATTAATTTCAAAATAATTTGGTCGGTAAAGTGCATTAAGCAATCGACTAGGCATCAGGTGAAAACTACAAGCGAGCTTAAAAGTGATCAATTTATTTGTAAATATGGCGAGCGAGCTACTCGTTCCACCATTGTTTTCAGAGTCGGCGTTGCCAGCTTGACGGATTTTCCGCTAGACTTTGCATGAATGCAGATAAGGGATCTTTTATCAGAAAATGCTTACTTAACGAAAAAAATATTCGCTTATGTAGGTATTTCTTAAATTTTTATTCCGTTTTCCATTCCCTATGTCATTATTCTTTTTCTTCTAGATTATGTAGATGCTCTTACTTCCTGAAGCTCACAATATTCGTTCCATTAGACTTAGGTTCTTAAACAGATTCATTTATTTGGTTTTAGACGTTTTTGAACTCCTATCACTCTAAATTTTGATAGGTATTATTAATGAGTCGTAACAATCCAACATATAATTCACGAAATTGAGTATATCTAGACCCTATTTCAAGAATATCCATCACGGTTGAATGACAGCCGATTATTTAGTAATATCTCAAAATTCCCCATACTGGCACAGGACACATAATGCTGACGGATCCGTCAACGTCAGGTACTCACAGCCGTATTTCGTTTCGGTTTTTTGTACACTACAGATTCATTTTATACTTGATAACAGCTCCTTTATTTAGAAAAGTTCATTTGCATACAAAAAACAAAACACTACAAAAAAGTTTTACTAGCTTACGCAGGCTAACACAAAAACGACACTTGCTGATCAGCTGTTCACCTCAGTAGACGTCAAAGCGAGACTTATAGTCGTGAAATAGGGTATATACCTTTGCTACAAAAATTTTTTGTAGGTTAAGAAGTGAACTTCATTTAATCGGACAGAAAACAATACAATCATCCCGTTTATAGTAAATAATAAGAACCGTCTTTATTTATGGCGATGTGTAGACATTGGCCATTCATCAATAAGTTTAACAACTTGAGACAAGTAATTAATGGTGTAGCGGTGATATACCGTCTCGGACTGCCGAGCGAGGAGATAGCACCGACGGATCTATAAGGGGGCCCAGAATGTGCATTTCGCATGCACACATGTTTCCTAGAGTCTGTGTGTCGTCTCCCCCTACTTTTGCCTGTATCCCCATATAGCTGCAGGGTAAACTTGGGCAACGAGTGCTTACTCCGTAGACCCTTTCTGGTGGTTCATCTGTTAAGAAAAATAATAAAATATGAACTTTAACAAAACCAAATTTATTTTGTGATTAGTGAAAAATTTCCGATTTAGTAGACTTTGGGCATCAATCTGACGGATTTTTATTTTAGGAGCTGGCAACGCTGTCCAGTGCCCTCTTCAACTAGTTGCGTTCTGCTTTCTGCTAGGCTTTGCGCTCTCGCCATCTTTTTCCCCGTCATCAATTATGGTGGAGGAGCAACAAGTGTTCTGATAAATTCGTTGAAACTGGACACGTGAAACGTTCAAACTTGGATTTTGGTGCATGTACTTTATAAACAAACCTACCAGGAACGGTTCGATGTATAATTTGAGTGTATACCCTCTACTTGCTGGGCAAAAACATTGTTCGAAAAGTGATGTTCGGAGGGGGCTTGACCAACAAGCCAGTGCCGCTTTTTATCTTTCTGAAGTTGTACCATGAAGAAAAACCCCCAGCAGCTACCGAGAAAAATAGGAAAAACAAATGCTGTGCGTAAGAGCTTTTTAAATAATCGTCGCGATATCGAGAACGCTAATGACTTGTCCCAGTGTGTGTTTCTTGGTGTTTTGAGACTGAAACCAGTGCCTTCGACCCTTTCGAGGTCCAGCTTACCTTCAGGTAGTACCTCTTCTATTTCTCATAGGCTTAGGAGACATACACGTAGTAACCTTGCTAAGGAAAACAGTAAGAAAGCTACTAAAGTCATCAGTGGGAAAGTGACAAAGAAAAATCGTGATAAAGTTAGGGCTTGCATCAAGAAAAATCCCTTAGGAACTTCTAAAGTACTGAGAATATGCTTAGCAATGATGAATCCACTAAAAACTGAATCATCTGAAGCTACAAGTTTTGGGGCATCTTCGCCTACTTTTAATCCTGTAGATAATCTTTTTAAAAAGCTTAAACAACAAATGAATCAAACAGAATCCGCTGACTCCCTAGATGTTTCAATGTTTTCGTCATCAGTAGCTAAAATGAATGCTTCACAACAGGTAACACTCAATAATGTTGAGCCTAAAAAAAAATCTGACAATCTAACAAACTCTACCGATAACACGGATGATATTATCTGGATCAGTGACTCTGGAGCTACAGGTCATCATACTCAATCATCGAATGATGATATAATTTTTGTAGAAGACTCAACCGTAAGTAAGACTCCTCCAGAGCATACTTATAAGGGCCCAGCATCTATAAGCAAAAAAATACTTACACAGGACTCAAAATCCATCACAATTGAGAAACCTGATTTAAGTCAAGCTTCTGTGACAGCTACTTCTACAAAGCAGGCTCCGGCACTTGCTCAAACAGATGAAATTTATGTAGTTGATGATCATGACTCTTCCAGTGAATGTTCTTCGCAAAACAAATCTGATAGTAAGCAAAAAGAGAAAACAAATAAGTCCAGAAGGAGTCGATTAATTCCAACTGAAATTCCATTAAAATATGTCAATGCACCAAGACTTCTAAGATCAGAGCTGTACCAGAAGGCTGATCAGAAGAGATCTGCAAGTCTAGAAGCCAGGGATCGAACAAAAGAAAAATCCAAACCTGTCAGGTCTGAGAAAGTAACTTTTACTATTATTAAGTCTAGCAGTGAGCACAATTTAAACCAGAAGTCAAGACCTGAATTTGTTGTGAAAAAACAGAAGTCACAAGATGAGCCAACTATGGAAGCAAGTGTAAAAGAAAAAAGAAAATCTGCATCTTTATCTCTGAAGAACACAAATGCTCAGGAAAGTGGCAGTAGCGATCAGTGGGAGATAACAAGCTCAACACAGTCAAATGAGCAGGTTGTGAATGTCACAGGTACCAGCCAGAAATCTACTATACAGGGAAATCAACCAATTAGTTTAAAATTGAAGCTAACAAAAACTACTAGAGGTGCTGTAGCATCTACAAAACCTTCCCCTTCAAAGGAACTGACTACTGATGATGTTATTTTTGTTGATGACACCAAACAGAATACATCATCAGAAAAATCAGCTGCTATTATCCAGAAAACAGCTTGTAATGAAGCAAAAGTAGTGACAAATACTCAGAATCTACCAAAAAAAATTATGAAAACCTCACAACCTGAGACAAGAATCAGTAAAAATAAAAATTCTCCTGCAATTCCTCCACTGAAGCCTATAACCATAGTAACACGAAAAGATGAAATTACAACAGCTGTTACTCCAAATAATGCTAACCAAACGGATATAATCATTATAGAAGATGCTCATGATATAGATCCAAATGTGCCAGTTCCAGCAAGAATTTCAAAGTCTAAGAGCCCTGAAAGCAAAATTATCACAAAGGCAATTTCCATTGTTGAAACTGTTCCTCGAGTGCTGAGATCAGAAGTTCCTGCAAAAACTTCCAACATTGATGTCCCAAAAAAACCATTGGATTCAACAGTTCAAGATGAACTTCTTGCTGCAATGCAAGAGGCATTTGTTGGCAATACTTCTTCAGAAGAAAATGTTCTTCCTAGAGTGCTAAGATCCAGTGTATCTCCAGAAACATTAAATAATAATAATCAACCTGAAGAAAATAATAAGGCTATTTTTAAGAAATTACCTGAAATTGTAACAAAACCTCTAGAAGTCATTCCGCTTGGTAGAGTGCTCAGATCAGATGCATCCAAAACTGTGAGCATTGAAGTATGTGATGAAAAACAAACAAGTTTTGTAGAAAAAATGGAAGATCGATCAGCTATAAATGAAAAACCTCCAAATACACTGAAATCAACTGCAAAAGATTTTGAAAAAGCTGAAAAAAGCAAATCTGTGCTGCCAGCTGTTGTAATTGAAACAGTAGGAGATCAATCAGCCACAAATAAACCTCATGAAGCATCTACTCCTGGTAGAGTGCTCAGGTCAGAGGCATCCAAAACTGTGACTGTTGAATTACATAATGGGAAACAAGCAACTTTGCCAGAAAAAATGGAGGATCAACCATCTGTAAATGAAAAACTTCCAACTACACTGAAATCAGATTTTGAAAAAACTGGAAAAGCCAAAGTCATTGTTGTACCAACTGTTGTGATTGGAGAAAAAATAGCCTTAAAATCAGAAGTGCCAAAACAAACAGAAACATCACAGACACAGGTGACTAAAGTTGCAGATAATCAAAATGCATCTGAAAAAAGTGTATGTACATTGAGGTCTTTACCACCACATAAATCTGCATCACCAAAGTCAAATGAAAAACTAGCAGAAGTCTCAAATCAATCTGTTGAGGCAAATCAATCAAAGATATCACCACAAGATACACCAAGTGGACCTTCACCAGTTACTACAACTAGGACCTTACGGTCTACTGGTGAGCAACTACAGCCCGATACTGTTTACAAGAGCAAAGAAAATTTGACAGAAAAACAAGCAACATATGCAGAAAAACTTCAAGATGAACCAAAACAACAGGTAGAAAATCTACCATCTAGAAGCCTCAGGTCAGATGTTAGTTCTCAGAATATACCAAATAGTCCCCCACCCCAGAGAAAAACAAAGAAACCTAAAGAGCAGCAAGATAAAATAGAATCAGTTCAAAATAGCACTCCAGCAAAAACCAGAAAAGATAAGAAACCTACAAAACACAAAAATGTCTTACCTCTTGCTCTGAGAAGATTATTTATGGATAGTGGAGTCTCAAGAAAATCCATGTCAATGCCTGAAACAAGTGTAATAAATGTGGATGATCCTGAGTCAAATAAGGAAAATTTAATGTCCAAGGTAAAAAATGTGGTGCGAAGGTATATAGGACCTAAAGCCAAAAAAGATCAGGCGAAACAAAAGTTGCTTTCCAGAGCAAATCAAATTCTTTACAAGACCAACAAGAAGGCGTTGAAACAAAAGAAAACTCACAAAAAAGAAAACAGAAAATCTCAGGTGAAGAAATTAAGTTTAACCCCACCTAAAAAGAATGTTCAGCAGAAAAAAATAGGTGGTACACCACCAAAGAAGCGTAAAAATACAGATAAAGTTAAGTTAGGAAAGATTATCAAACTGAAGATTAACAAAAAAGAAAAGCATGCTAAGAATGTTAAGATAAAAACAAATAAATCTGTAAAGTCACAAGGAAAAATATATAAAGAAGATGTAAGTCCTCAAAATGTGGAAAATAATTTGAATGGTGTTCAAAATTATAAAAAAACAAGAATGCTATCTTCTGCTAAAGAATTGCAAGTACCTGTTTCTCAAACAAACGTGAAATCTGCTTCCAAAGATAAAGTTCAATCAAAGAGTAAGAAACTAGATAACAAACAACCAAAGTCAAATTCTTCTGATAGAAAGAACAAGGGAGAAAATAATAAAAAGGCAGGCAATGAAGTTGTGGCTCATAGTAAGACAACTGAGAAAGTGATAAAGAAAGCTGAAAAAAGGAAGAGGAAAGAAAAATTATCATCAGTGAAGAAGATGAAATTAGCAAATGAAAAAGAATTTGTGAACACAACAAAGAAGCTAGTTGCTAGCAAGAAGGTTGCAAATAAAAAAGGTAAGGTCAAAAAGAACCAGGTAAATGTTCAAGTCGAGGTTCAAGTTCATGCTGAAAATACATCTTCTACAGCAAACTCTGACACTATAAAAGGTAAAAAGAAAAAAGGTTCTACTAAAAAAAGTGAAAAAACAGACAAAGATTCGAAAAAAAGTACTTCAGTTGTGTCTAAGTTGAGATCATCACTAAGAAGGAGCAAGGCAAATCAACAGATTTCTGAAAATGTGAAGCCAGAAGTCCAGATGTCAACCACTGAAGAGGTTGAAGTAATTGACAACAAAACACCAGAAGTTGTTCCTGAAACTGTCTCAAAAGTAGCTCAAAAATCTGTACCATTAGCTAAAACATCAGCTGAATCGGTTCAACAAAGTACTGCAGTTCCAAAAAGGAGGTCAAAAAGAACATGTGTCGAGAAACAAGCGGAGCAAGCAAGTGTCAAAAAGAACAAGAAAGTATGTGACATCCAACAGCATATAATTGTAGCAAGTTGTGACAGTTCAGTGAATACCACAATCAGTCTACCTCCTGGTACATCAATAGAACCTATTGTGATTGAGGATGTTGATGTGAAGAAAGAGGTTTCTTCCAGAACAAATGAATCTACTAACAATAATCTACCAGCAAAGTCAAGTCTGTCTGTATTTGACTTCAATGAATCAGATATGGAACTTAACACTCCACCCTTGCTGACATTGCAAACAACTCGTGAGGAGATTAAAGAAAAACATTTGCATCCTAAAGAGCGGGCTCATGATGTCACTTACATTATACCTGAACAGAGTCCAGCCAATACTACATATACATTGCCAAATAACTCACCCCAAGACCTTAATAAGACTTACACAACTCTGAATCCTGTGCCAAATGCATCTAACAAAGATGCTTTAAGTGCTTTAAATACCAGCACACCAGTTGCAGAGCCTGGAAACCGTATCTCCTCTCCCACTCAAATGTCAACACCAAAAATGCCAACATCCACAAACGTGCCTAAGGGTCCCAAGTTATATTCTAAAATATCATCAGAAGAATTAGTAAAAAAGAGAATTGAAAGAGCAGAGCGACTCAAAACTCAAATGGCCCAAAGTGGTATTGACTTGACTGTTAATCCGGATCCTAGCCCAATACAAAATAATCAGATACAAGTAAGAAGACCGTCCCAGATATGTGATCCGTCGAAGCTCAAACGAAATTTACCAGCTTCGTCCAATGCGGTCGGGGCTACCAGTAGTTCTGTTTTAATAAAACCTGATAAAGTTAGTCCGGCGACACCTAACTCTTCAACCTTTGAGGACATCTTTAACTCCTCTGTCAAGTCACCCAAGAAGTCACCTCTGAAGCAACCTACAATCCTGGACATGTTTGCGAAAATGAAACAGAAGAACATCATGAAAGCAATCTTCTCCCCCCAACCCAAGCCTGTTTTTCAAGAATCTGAAACGGTAAGCATCTTATTTTCTAAATCTCATATTCTTATACAAGGTGTTTTTTAAAAATAATCAAAAATTGTAGGAGTGATCCGTGTTAGGTTATTCTAAGACTGTTTCGTTCTGTGGCGATTTTCGGAATATCGTTTTCTTACCAAGATACGGATCCCTAAAGGACGATATAGTTTTTGTACAATAACTTTTGAATGACATTATATAATCCAACAAAAGTTCTAACATCAAAGTAACCACTTGAGGCCTTACATAATGATATTCAACTGATTTAGATCGCCAGGGAGGGACTAGCCCTGACATTCTGAACAACCCAAAAAATCTCTGTAATAAAGTTGAGGATCTGAGTAGTAATATGAAGTAACATTGTTTTTTGCAGGAATGATTCTTATCGAAGTCAAAAAATAAATATGCTAAATGATTAAGTTCTCCAAAAGTAGTATTTTTGAGCTATTATTCTGCAGAGTGTAGAAATGCAATATTCCATTAGGGCTAGTAGAGTGTACTATTTCCATTTTCAATTGTGCAGGGTATCCCCCTACAGATTTGCCCATACTATAACTTTTTTGTGTGCTGGTTAGAAAAAGACATTTTATCAATTGATTTATTCATGTATATCTGAGTTCAAAGCAGTTTACATCTACCTGCATGTGCAATCTGACAATGCCGCATGCATTATTATGATTAAATGACATGTAAGATTTAAGTTTTTGGCTAAAGTAATGAAAATAATAATAAACCATACGTATTTAGAATCAGTAAAAAAACTAATATCATTGTCAATAACTTTTGTTATTACTCTTTTGTCTAAAAGGTCATGCTAGAAAATTAAGGTGGGGCTAAACTTATTCATTTTGTACATCACTACCCACTATGATGTTGTAATGTGCTTTTGTGGTGGCATGAATGGGAAACAACTGATGGGTTTTAGTGAGTATGCTGTTTTGGAGAATCTCACACTTCGGGCAGGAAAGGCTGATAGAAAGAATCCATTGAGCTTTTCTGCCTGCCTGAGAGTGGTTAAAGAAATGCTGAAACGTTGAATACTATGAGAAAAAAGTGTGACGTGTATTTTCGATTCCCAATGGTGAACTTTTGGGGCATATATCAGAAAAGTGAGACACTCGTATATACTTCCTTTATATATCTTCATAATATATCAATGATCTTTAATGTTTTTTTTTGTCTATATTCGAATTCTTCAGAAGGTCCGAATAAGAAGATGACTAGTTAGATAAAATGTATGTTTAGCAGGAATCCCGAACAAATCCTCAGCAACAAGAAGAATCCACTATTTCTATGCTCAATCGGATCCCCAAGGAGGTTTCTGTAACCTCAGAAGTGACTACAATGAAAGAAAGTGACAGCTCCGATATGCCGCCTCCAAAACTGACAGCTTATGGCGAAGACGAGGATAGCGATGGAGAAAGCCGAATGGAATGGGTGCCTGAAGAATACGCCGAGTATAAATTCAAGTACACCGCTAAAAAGGTGATGAGTTACAAACCCATCTTCAAGTGCAAGGTGTGTCTCCAGATGTTCCCATCTTACTACAAATTGAACAAGCATAAGAGACAGCATGTACAGACTGACAATCCATACAAATGTCAACAGTGCGAGACATCATTCAATAGCGTTGCTGATTTGACAGCTCATATTCGAGTTCATAAGGGTAAGTGTTACATTTTTATTGTCATTGTGTGTGGGTTCATGGAACTACACTGCCATCAATAAGTTGCTATTGTAGACCCACTGACATCTTGTATATCTTTAATTCTCCAATCAGACCTAATATCTTTAATACAGAACCCTGCACTTGGCTTCTGGGACCATAACTCCAAATATCTTAAACCTTACCCTAGCAATGCCTTCACAGGGGCATAAGACTCGCCCCAAATAAGTAGTAACGAAGTTATACCTCGTTTTATATTTAATTTTTCAGGGAAACACCCATATACTTGCAAAAAATGTGATACAGGACTTTGGACTAAAGAAGAACTAGACGAGCATTTAGCTCTTCATAATCTGAAAAAAATTAAACAACCAGATAAGAAATTCCGTTGCGATGTTTGTTTGAAGGAATTTGGGCGGTTGTATGAAGTGGAGAGACACATCAGAGTACACACAGGTAAATAAGTGTATTTTTTACTGAAAGCAGCTAATGAGAAGCTTGATATTTTCCCATGAAATTTTAATTTTCAAAACATAAATTGTCTAAGAAACATTATACACCTCAAACTTATTTTTTTAATGGGCTAAGCTACAAGCAGTAAGCTGAAATTCAGGATGAAAAAATGTATGCATGAGTCGTACTATTTTTAGCATAAATGTAGCAATTGAAAATGCTGAGTGGGTAGCTGGACGCCATCATGGAACAAGCCCCTCCCTACTTACTTTTTGAGTAGGTCAAGTTAGCTAGCTAGAATCTTCTTATTTTTGGAAGGGTCTATCTAAGTGTGTAAGAAAATATGGGACAGTCAGTGAAAAAATTATATTTTTTTTATGAGCATGACACAGTACAACGTTTATTTACTTATAACTTATTCTTATCACAGGTGAGAAGCCCTTCATCTGCAACATTTGCAACAAGGGCTACCAACAGCGCCACAACCTCAGCAAACACCTGTTGATCCACCTGGATGTGCGACCCTTCAACTGCGAAATTTGCGGGAAGACCTTCGGTAGAGTTGACGTCCTGGAGAGACACGTGCTGACACACTCGGTGGAAAAACCTGTCAAATGTCCGCATTGCAATAAGGACTTCATTCGGCATATGCAGCTGAAGAATCACATGAAGAAACGGCATAAGGAGTTTTATGATGAGGCTACTGTCGATGGAGTAGCAGTGCAACTCAAAGGTATGTGATGGAAAAAGTAGTGTAAGGTTGATTCATTTGAAAGCTTCCTAGAGACCAAAATTGTATGACTAAAGGAATTTCAGTGTTCGCTGAGAGCAAATGAACTTTCTGGTTGGTTAACTATAACCAGGAAGTTAACCTGTAGTTACCTGCAAATGCGTTCTTCGAGTATTTTGACAACGCCAGTTAGCTTACCAGAAGTTCATCATATATTTATGCTGCGCTCCAGTCCTGCATCTGCGGTTCTTAGGCCCGTATCGTCAGTCGTCCCTACAATTGTAGGTCACGTTTATGGTCTCCTTGATTGTCATACTCCTTTCTCTCCTTCAAAAATTTCTAGATTACCCTTGTCCCGTGTCAGCGTCAGCGCTCTTCTATTGTGAAAATATGTTTTCTTTTTAAATTGTAGGAAATTTCAGGCTGATAAAACATGATATAACTCAAAAGCAAGCACAATTTGATGCAAATAGATGTTTGTGACATAACCTCAAAATAGAGCGCTGACACGGAGAAGTAGAAAACAATGACAATCAAGGAGGCCATAAAGGCGCCCTACAATTGTAGGGACGACTGACGATACGGGCCTTAGAATTCGTATTCTGTGCGTTTTGTGCCCTCGGCGTCCGTGTCTTGTATCATACCCTCATACCGTCGTATGTGTCATACACAACAGCTCTTTTTTTAATAACATTTTATAAAATGGTCGAAATTTGAATACATTTTTCTTGAATATAAATAGGTATGTAAATATCCACGACCTAAAAGTAAAGGCTCCACAGCGGAGAAAAAATATTGCTATTTATGTTGCTAAAATTTATCAAAAACTGTTTTCTGGCATGGAGAAAGAGAACATCAAAAAAGCTATCAAAATATGAGGAAATGAGGTTAGTATCATTGTTCAGTACAAAACAAAAGCATAATAGAGAGCAAAAGAGGTGCACAGTTTCCTGGAAAGAGAAAAGTTCTGTTTCTACAGTCCTTTTTGTACGTCAAAATCTTGCAAGGAAATCTAGGTCGTCAAATTTGTCAAAATAATTCGGCCGATGGCGGACAATTTTTGGTCTTCTAGCCTCTTCGTCTCTGCTATGCGCATTAATGTCGTAATCCATAAATATGTTTCAGCTTTAATTTATATTCATGGATAAATTGATATGAATTTGTGAATTTTTGAATAAGAGCCAAAGTCTGTGTCCACAAACGTCAGGTATTACTAATTACCTATTTTGTTGTCATAGATGGTCTGCAGGTAAATGTTAAAAATTTTGGATTGTAAGGTTCATATGCTCCCAGCCCTGGTAGTTCTATGTACCTATTAGCCATATTTCACACACCATAGATTTTTATATACATTTGCCTTTGAAACTTGATATGAGAAATGTTCTTGATACGCATGCTGTTTTTGCTCTCTGTGTACACCGGCGGGCGTGCCGGTCTGGTTGATCGTTCTGCCCGTACTGCAGCGGTGGCGCAGTGGGCGCTGCCGCGTCTGATACGTCGTGTGATCAGTTAAGGGCAGGAGCAACGTACTATTGGTAGGACAGGACCGGAATTCTCGTTTTTTAGCTCGAAATCAATACGTTTTCAAAACGATTAGCGAATCATGTATCACGGAAAAAGCGTCAAGCGTTTCGTTTAGGCATTCATTGCTGTGTGAATGTTTAATGCTCCGGGTACATTTTGGCAATGATGTTTTTTCGATGTTACCAACATACTCTCGGTTGACGGATGAGAGTTACAGTATAATTTAGGTCTATGCAAGGAAATACAATTCAGACAATATCTAGAAAAATAATGTCACATTCATTTAAGCGTCTATATACTATATTAACTGGAGGACAATTTAAATTTACTTTATTTATAAACATTATAATAGGTAGTTAAAGAATCAGTTAATAAAAGCACGTGTATTTCATTACTACTATATGTTTATTTGTCAGTCTGGCCCAAAGAATTCGAATAGCTTAGAAGGAGCCAAGTCCATATGTTTACATTGCATTGTTTGTCGCCAACATTACGTAGTTTTAATGCATACTTTTAACTCATTTGTCTACTAATGCCGTCCAAGCTGACGGAGTTATATCAACATAATAATAAAACCTACTGTTCGAACCAGCTACCTTCATTAGAGCTGTGTTCCTCTTTGCAAATGATGTAACAAGTAGCACGCTTGAAAGATAGCTCATTATTTTGACTTACTTTTGCTCGATTGCGTATCACGAGCGATCTATAAGGCATAGCATTTCCTCCAAATTTTGCACATTTTGTTTTCTTAGGTAGTATAACCTTACATTTTTTTTTACAAACTCCGAGAATTAAAAGGTTATTCAAAAGCTACATCAATAACGCACAACACCCTAAATGTAAATGATAAGCAAAACACCAACTACTAGGTAGCCGTTTTGAAGCCGTCAAGCGATTTTCGAAAACGCTAAGCGTGAGACAAACTGAAATACCGTGAGAGACTTGAACCGTTTTCCGTTTTGAAGAATGAGAATATGGGCCCCTGATTTCTATTGTATATATTCGCAACTAATTTTTTTCTCAGACATTTTGATGACGGCGTTGGGTGGGAAATGCAGAGTCAACCTACTTGACCCCATGTTTCAAAACAGACATTATACAGATTTAAACATTTGTCAAGTCATGGTGCCTTTATGGCATCTTTGATTTTGTTAGTTTTCTACAGTTTCGTGCCAGAGCTCTATTTTGAGGTTATGTTACAAATATCTATTTGCCTCATATTGATCATGCTTTTGATTCATATCATTTGTTATAACAGTCTGAAATTTCCTACAATTCAAAAAGAAAACATACCCTCACAATAGGATAGCGCTGACGCTAACACGGAACGGTAGAAATCTAGAAATACTGAAATAATGAAGGAGAGAAAAGAGTATGAAAATCAAGAAGGTCATAAAGACGTCCAACAATTGTAGGAACGACTGACGATACGGTTTCAACATGTCATCATTTTCCAAGCACTTTCCACCAAGAAATTCCTTAGATTTAGAAAAAGATTAAAGTTTGCTGGTGCTAAGTCAGGGCTGTAGGGAGGATGGTGTAGTAATTCCCTACGAAAGTTATCCAGTTGCGTCTGTGTTCTTGCCGCAACGTGAGACCGAGCGTTGTCGTGGAGCAGGCCCTGTCGGCGGCTTTGAATAGCGCGCTTAATTTAACAAACTGCTGGAGAATTTCAGCAGGAAGAACTACCGTATTATTGCACCCGATAACATAATTACTGAGCACACCTGACAATCGGCGTGTTAACTGATTGGCATGGCGACAAACAAAGCAGTATAACCATATAACCAATACCGATAGTGTCGTGAAATGTAATGGTATGGCGGTGTAGTGAGAGACATGCTAAGAGTTTGAACGGATGTCGTGTGACAGGATGCTCAGGCACGAGGCTCAATCGGTTCTTACTTTAAAAATCACTCTCGTTCTAGAGAAGAAGTTTGAACTCTTGAAGTCACACCGGGTGTAACAGTAGCGGAACGGCTTTGTATTTTTCCAGGCAAGGCATTTTAGAAAAAGGCCAAGGTCAGGTCATTGCTAACTTTGAACTCAAATGTTGACCTTGGAGTCGACCGTGAGTCCGCCTCAAGGTTTTTCAAGGACAATTTTGCAATCGAAAAAGCTGACAATTCTACGTCCGAATATGTATAGAATACTAAAATCAAATGTGTGAGTTCTGAAATATTATTGATGAACGATCAAGGTCAGTCCTAACTATTAATAAGAATTTCAGTATTAACCTATATAATAGTACTTCAGAACGTATTCTAACGAACAATTTTCCAGAGTTGGTGTCACATAGGGGAGTGTTGTTCCCAGTTAGAAAAATCTTTGTTGTTGACATTCAAATGACTTCAAGGTCACCTTTGAACTCGCTATTCAATGGTCGTATAGACCTGACCTTGACCTGTTTCAAAAATACCTTACCTAGATGATAGCCAATGCGATTTCCCGTGTCCAAACAAGTATCAGATAAAATGAGATACCGCAGAGTCATCTATGATAATTTGTCGTAGCTGTTTCTCTATTTACTATATACACTTTGAAAAGGTTAGTGTCTCATAGATGATGCTGTCTGTATGAGCATATACAAGCATACAGGTGGATACAACGCGATCTATGAGACACTATCCTTTTCAAAGTAAGTCAGAAGAGAAAAAGCTGTGACAACTTCTCATAGAAGACGCTGTGGTATCTCATTTTAGTTCCGATAATTTTTGGCAGAATATTAATCAATGGTATAACCTACCAAATTTGCATCACTTAGCACCCGATGGATATATCCACGTATATTGAATCTTGGAGTAACCAATATCTAGATGTTATTGATAGCTCATAGTACTGTTATTTTTTTTTTAGATGAATCGGCTGATAATTCTGCTGCACCTGTGACTAATGAAACGGTGACTACTAGGGAGCCTGCAACTACTGAGACTGCTGCTTGAACAATAATGTGAAATATTTTTATTCCTAATCTCAAAAAAGTATGTACCTTTTTGTCTTCCGCCTCCCGCTAGGAAGAAACATTTCCTGAAAATTAAATTGCCTTAGTTACAGGACTATCCGTTTGAACAGCTGTTGTTTTTTCTCGGGTATGTCATGTTTCAAATCACTTTTTTCGATATTCGTATATTCCATGCAAACATTTCTATATAATACGAAATTGTGAAGGACTGAATTTAAGTTTTAAAAACGTGAGAATCTATCAGATATTACTGCAAAGTATGCTTCCAAATTTTATTAAGATCATGGCTGTGTAGTTTTTGACACCCTGGTCACTTCGATTTTTAAATTTTAATAATGTTAATGATTTCCGATAAGTGTAGTTTTCGGGACATAATTTATAACACGTTACGGAAAGATATTTCGAAGGTGCTACTTTACATTTACAATCGTGTGACAAGAATTTACTATTTTGTGACATTTTATACAGTTACCTGATGTGTTTTGGGGTCAATTGTAAATTGAAGTGATTGAAGAAAATAATAAAAAGTCGAGTATTTTTTTATCAAATAAAATATGAAATTATGTGATACACAGAATATTTTAGTTATGCATTGCCAAAAATATTGTAACTCTTGGACTCAGAAATTGAGTATTAAGAAAATGTCAGATTGTTCTTGGAAGCACACTTAGGGAGGCGAGCATCGACCGAAAGAATTCATGAGGATAATTTTAGTTGTTCTGTAGTCAAAAATATAACCCCATCAGTCGTATACAGAACACCTGAAGTCACCAATTGCATAAGTGTTTAACATCATATAAATTTAGTTTTAAATGGTTGGTGCTCGCCACCCTTAAGGAGATGCCCGCCAAAGTTTGCTCTCGTCTAGATATTCTACTGTACATTGACATTCTATTTATTTGTCATTGAATCCGACTTGTTAATATACATATATATTTACTGGATTGTTGTGAATAAAAATGTATATATTTATTTTTAAAAGATGCATGCATTATTTTATAGCCGTTTTACAGTTAGCGTAAGACCTTAGTATTAAACAGATTATATTTAACGTTCATAATGTGGTGAAAGATCCCGTTAAATTGTAAGTAAAATCTATTTTTAAAGCTGTATAGGATAATGATGTGCCTTCAAAAAGTGCTTTTGAGCTGATGCAAAGACTTTATTTTATCATACTCTATGAATATATAATATACTGATAGAATATTCTTACAAAGATATGTCTTATAGTATATTTGACGTAGGAGTACGACTTTGAATAGACATGCAGTGGTGGTCAAAAAATAAGAGTGCACATTTTGAAACCAATAATATAATTAACCATCATATATTTATGCCAGTTAAGCAATCTATAATATTATAAAAATTAAGAATATTGTTTGCTCTTTTAAAATACAATGAACAATATAATATTAATAAAGACTTGAAAAATAAAAGTTAGCAATTAAGATTTTGTGAAAATACAAGTGGTCAAACGATAAGAGTAAATTTAAACAATAGATAAAATAGACAAAACAATGCATTTAAATAACATATTTTTATTTCTGATTAACGAGTATTTTTAGTACTTTATAGTGTAACCCTTGTTCTTCAGGACAGCATCACATCTGCTTGGCATTGAGTCAATAAGTTTGTGGGGTTTCCGGATGTATTGAAGACCATGTTTTTTAACTTCTTCCCAAAATAACTTTTGGTTTGTTGTCTTTTTGTGTGATATTCGATGATTCAATTCCTTAAAAAGATTATCTATCGGATTCAAGTCGGGTGACTGTGGAGGCCACGGTAAACTTCAATTTTCTTCGTCTCGAACCACTGTTTTACTACCTTTGCTGGATGCTTGAGATCATTGTTCTGTTGGTAGATCCAACGTAGTGACAGATTTTCCTCAGCATAAGGCAGCATAACATTCTCCATGATTTGTAAATAAATATCCTTTGTCATATTTTCTTTTATCCAAAAAATAGGTCCAACGCCGGAATATGAAAAGCAATATTTTAAAGTTTCCTCCCCCATGCTTAATCGTTCTTATTGTGTAGTGCGGATTCAGTTCACTATTTGGACCTCTACTTGCGTAAATCCTGCCATCAGATCCAAACAAATTTATTTTTGTTTCATCACTAAAAAGGACATTTATCAAATTGCGACTGTAGGTGTCGTTTAGATGATTCCTTGCAAACTCCACTCATTGAGTATGTATATGCTTTTTAGATAAAAGGGGAGCTCTTCTGGCAACTCTGCCATGAAGATTCATTTCTTGCAAACATCTTATTGTTCTAGTGCTAATAGATAAGCCCAACTGACCTTTTATAAAGAACGAATTAGAAAATGGATCCCTAACAGCTTCACGGGCTATCCTTTTATCGATACGTGGCGTTGTTTTTCTTGGACGACCTCTTCTTTCTGGTTGTTTCTCATCAGTTTGTTGTTCTTTTAGTACTTTAGCTATCACACAAGGGGATTTCTTAAGTACACTCGAAATAAATGCGTAGGTTTTGGTTTGACTACACATTTGTAATATTAAACGCCGTTCTTCTGACGTACAATGTTTCGCGCGATCCATGTTGCAAAGAAAGGACCGTCAATAAACTCTGCAAATACTAAGCATAGAAAAACTGGCTATAATAGCAAAAACATTTAATATGCTCTTATTTTTTTGTCCACAAAATTTCCGATACCTGTTAAAACTGAATGGCCTTGACATTCCATATGTGTACTTTATCAGCATGTAAAGCATAAATCTTTATCTTGTACAATGTACTATCCAAGAAAAAAATTACTTTGCCTGGTTTTTACATAACAATTTAGATATTTTTCTTTTACACTCTTATTTTTTTGACCACCACTATGAGTATGCAAGTATTGCCTAAAGTTAAATGGCAATGGACTGGTACGATTGATTCGACAATTTTCATGGCCACAATTAACATTAGCGGGTGAAACTGTTTATATCATGGACATTGTTCATTGTCTCATTATGTATTCTTTTTCACAATCTGTTTGTCAACGAGTGATAATCTGACTAAAAAAATGTCCCATTTGTAATGATGAGTCCGTTGATATTGTTTATAATTTTAGAAGTGTGATACAGTTATAAAATGTATTAAAGGTGGGATATTAATCTTTAATTTCATTACTTTGGTATCGTATGGTGATTACATTGTAATCAATGTATAAGTCGAATGTTTGATAATGTTTTTTCAATTCTTATGTTTGTATATAGAGGGTATTCTTTTTATGACATTAAGCGCCGTATCGTCAGTCGTTCCTACAATTGTAGGACGCCTTTATGGCCTTCTTGATTTTCATAGTTTTCTACTGTTCCGTGTCAGCGCTCTATTTTGAGGTTGTGATACAAATATCCATTTGCATCAAATTGTTCAAGCTTTTGAGTTATATCATCTGTTATATAGCCTGAAATTTCCGTCGATTCAAAAAGAAAACATAGCCTCACAATAGGAGAGTGCTGACGGTGACACGGAATAGTAGAAATCTAGAAACACCTCAGCCTTTCTGAATGAGAGAAAATACTATTGTGAAATTATGTTCTCAGAAGCAAATAGGTATTTATGACATAACTTCAAAATAGAGCGCTGACACGAAACAGCAGAAAGCTATGAAAATCAAGGAGGCCATAAAGGCGTCCTACAATAATTGTTGTAGGAACGACTGACGATACGGCCCTTTTATTTGGTATTTAACAGCACTATATTGAGAGCACGCTCATAGTTCGAAATCTCATGATCATTTTACGTTATCAAAAACGTACTACAAATGGATTGAAAATGTGTAAACATAATGGTCATAGAGGTCAGTAATATGACATTGGAATTAACTTCAAGGGTAGACGTTTTGTTGGAATCATACCCCAGGTGTGTGAAGGGGTAGCGCATATCAAAAATGAGTAGTGCATGACACCCTAGCACAGCAGACAGATACAGGTCCAGAATACTGCTAAGTTAATTCCAGTAACTGTACCGCACAGTTACAGAAATCGAATATGGTATGAAGATCCGGACTAATTTGATTTTAACAGGAAGTTTTTGTTTTATGTAGAACAGCATAGATCTCTTGTATGTCTTCAAGTGTATTTTATAGGAAGTGCAGTTGAAGTGCCTTCTTTTTTAATATAGTGCCTTCTAAGCAATAATCCAATAATCTTTGTTATTTATGTTAGATATTCTGCTTATTAGACATGCTGGAGTGGATTGTGTTTATTTATATCTTTTTAGTCCATATATCTTTGGTAAGACTGTATTACTCACTTTTTTGTGCTGTTTTGCGCAAGTATTTTCAAAAATAAATAGTTGAATAATCTTTACTGCGTTTTTTCCTCCTTTGGATTACAGCATCCGCGAGAGCTAATTGTATTTGTTAGAAACGTCATACTTCTTTGCGTTTCTGAAATCCTGGTAGCAAATTTTTACCGGCAGAATTTGGGTCGGAATTCATCGGCATGAAATGAATTTTGTAATGGGATTACAGAATGAGTGAGAGGTGATTGTACTAGATGTTTGAATTTCCCGTCAATTTTATCACGAGATTAAAATACTTGACTCCTCGACCTTCAGCGATCCTAGTTGCACATTTTTGTCCGTAGAATAAGGTAATCGGCATGAAAATGTGTATCAGGATCAGAGAATCAACAAGAAACAACTGTGTCAGAGGTCTAAATTGCGCGCCAAAATCCTCCATACCTCCTTGCATTCCTGTTATCCTGATAAATATTTATAATTAAAATTCAAGATTTAGTCTCTATCGATATAAAACTGGGGATCACAGAAATACTGAGAGGTAAGAAATACTCGTATTCACCTATTCGCGCTCTGCGATCCTGGTAGCAAATTTGCATCAGTAGAATACGAGAATCAGTCTTTATCGACAAAAAAAATCACACAACAAGAGGTAATTGTGTTAGAGGTTTGTATTTCCCGCCAGTCTGTTAATTTTGTACTATTAAAGTTCGAGAATCAGTTTTTGACGGCACACAATTTTGTATCATGAATACAGAAACTAGTACAGGTGGATGAGCTGCATTTTTAAATTCCTTGCTTGTTTTATCACGCGAACAAAATATATAAAACTACCTTGCGTTTCTGTAGCCCTGACAGCAAATTTTTACTCGAATCTGAAAAATTGCATACGCTTCTTCGATCCTGGTAGAAAAACCTTATCCATAGTTCTATGAGAATCGATCTTCAGCTACGTAAAAAATGTATCAGGTTAGAAGAATCAAAGAGAGGTCACTGCAGCAGAAGTTTGAATTTAGCGACAATTTTATCGCAAGAAGAAAATGATTCATACGTCGCCTTTCTGCGATCCTAGTAGCAAATCTTTGTCATTCGATGAGACTCGATCTTCATTGGCTCAGAAAATTTGTACAAGGATCCAAGAATCAATGAAAGATAACTGTGCTAAGGGTTTGAATTTCCCGCCAATGTCATCGTCATCACGAGAACAGGTCACACATATCTTCGCAATTCTGCGATCCTGATGGAAATGTTTGCCAATAGAATTTCAGAATCAGTCTTCATCATATAATACTTTGCACAAGTATTTTCAAAATTAAATAGTTTAATCTGTACTTTGTTTTTAACATCCCCGTTCTATTTATGTCGGCTTAAAATTCCTCGTTCAGATTACAGTATCCGTGAGAGCTGATTGTGTTTGTTAGAAACGTCATACTTCCTTGCGTTTCTGAAATCTTGGTAGCAAATTTTGACTGGCAGGATTTGGGATCGGAATTCATCGGCTTAAGAGGTCACTGCAGCAGAAGTTTGAATTTAGCGACAATTTTATCGCAAGAAGAAAATGATTCATACGTCGCCTTTCTGCGATCCTAGTAGCAAATCTTTGTCATTCGATGAGACTCGATCTTCATTGGCTCAGAAAATTTGTACAAGGATCCAAGAATCAATAAAAGATAACTGTGCTAAGAGTTTGAATTTCCCGCCAATGTCATCGTCATCACGAGAACAGGTCACACATATCTTTGCAATTCTGCGATCCTGATGGAAATGTTTGCCAATCGAATTTCAGAATCAGTCTTCATCATATAATACTTTGCACAAGTATTTTCAAAATTAAATAGTTTAATCTGTACTTTGTTTTTAACATCCCCGTTCTATTTATGTCGGCTTAAAATTCCTCGTTCGGATTACAGTATCCGTGAGAGCTGACTGTGTTTGTTAGAAACGTCATACTTCCTTGCGTTTCTGAAATCTTGGTAGCAAATTTTGACTGGCAGGATTTGGGATCGGAATTCATCGGCTTAAAATGAATTTTGTAATGGGATTACAGAATGAGTGAGATGCGATTGTACTAGATGTTTGAATTTCCCGTCAATTTTATCACGCGATAAAATACTAGACACCTCCTCCACTTTAAGCGATCTTGGTTGCACATTTTTGTCCGTAGAATAAGGTAATCAGCATGAAAATGTGTATCAGGATCAGAGAATCAAGAAATAATTGTTAAATGCCTAAATTGTGCGCCAATTTTATTGCGTGAGCAAAATCCTTCATACCTCCTTGCATTCCTGTTATCCTGATAACTAATATTTACAATTAAAATTCTAGATATTTATCGGTATAAAACTGTCTGGGGATCACAGAAACACTGAGAGGTAAGAAATACTTCACACCTATTCGCGTTTCTGCGATCCTCGTAGCAAATTTGCATCAGAATACGAGAATCGGCCTTCATCAACACAAATATCACACAATTAACAAGAGGTAATTGAGTTAGAAGTTTGTATTAGCCGCCAGCCTGTTAATTCTGTACTATCATGAATGTAGAAACTATTACAGGTGGTTGTGCTGCAGTTTTGAAATCCCTGCTTGTTTTATCACGAGAATAAAATACATCTTGTGTTTCTGTGGTCTGACAGCAAATTTTTACTCGAATCTGAAAAGTCGTTCTCGCTTCTGCGATCCTGGTAGCAAATCTTTGTAATTCGATCAGACTCCGTTTTCATCGGTACAGACAATTTGTATCAGGATCGCAGAATCAATGAAAGATAACTGTGCTAGGAGTTTGTATTTTCCACTAATGCCATCGCGAGAACAGGTCACAATAGACTTTGAGAAACAGTCTTTATCAGGACAGAATATGGTATCAGATGTACAGACTCAATGGAGTTATTTGGGTGTCTGCGAGCTTACAAAAATTAAGGAGGGATATATTGAAACAACCGATACAGTAAATACATTTTTATTAAATTAATAATCCATAACTAATACTAAAACAAAATATATGAACTTGCAACAAACACATCCAATGTGATTGTTATAAGTATTTTATGATGTCAACTTATGATTTACCACTAACACTAAATATGTACACACAACAGTACAAAAAATATAAACATAAGGTGTCTAAAAATAAATAAATTGGGATTAATTTTCTCAAAATATGCCACTTGATTAAAATTGCTTACAAAGCAGGTATAAATTAATATTAACAGATACATTTGAAGACACCTTTTCTAATCACAAAAAAATCAACAAAAAGTACAGAGTCATCACTGCGACAATTTGTACAAAAATCATAAATGAATTCCCTGCGCCAAAAGAGGATACGGAGAAAACCTACGGGTAGCGTAATTATTTTGTTGGAACCCAATAAATTGATCGTCAGAAATAGGGGTACACTAAAACGTTGGTCTTGTAAGCAGTGTCATAAAATGCTTCTGACCTTAAAAATGCATATAGTTATGTCACTGCTCATAAGATTAAAATAATTACATCAACAATATCAATGCTTTGACAATATGCATTTTAGTCAAAATATTTTCCCTTGTTTATCCGATCATAAATATATGACTGTCTAATCAGAAGTGTGATATTACCCGTTCTCAATCTCGAATCAATGTTTAGTGCAATGCATCGTCTAAATTGTTGGGAAAAAATCGATATAACGTTGACTTATAGAATCACCGTATTTTTTTCTCAAAGTCACTCATACTTCAGCACGTCACTGGCAGAAGTTCAATTTCATACTACTGATAGATTAGGCTTCTTTTGCTACCCTTAATTTTGATTGATCGATCCGTTCTATGAATTTGAAGGCTTTTTTTGAATGCAGATACATATTGGGTTAAATGCCCAGATAAAAATTAGATAAAAAGGACTAATAGCTATATACAGCATTTCAATTCAAATATGAAAAAAATATCAACATCCATTTGAACAATTTGCAATTGTCATAGTTCTACCAATATTCTCTGAAGATGAGATCATTATAATTTGCCCGCCAATGCTATCAAAATGTATAAGCTTATCTCATCTTTATGAGAAATTCGTTCAATTTCAAATAAAACCTACCTGTGTTTCGTTTGTATTAAACGCAATCCAGATACTGGTTTCAAGCAGGAGCAAAAAAAAAACTAATAGCAATGCATGTAGAGGTATCCATCAGGCTAATTTTTTCACGACTGTCAATGAGCGAAACATAAAATCAATGAATCAGAAATGTTCCTTTTGCAAACGTTATAATCTTTACTTTATATGGAAAATCTAAGTTTTCATAAATGTCTGACAATCATTATAAGGACAAAATTTCTAATACTTGCTATATTCGCAGAGTTGCAAATATTTTTATCAATAAATATTCGGCTTTGAACGGATCTGACTGTGAAATATGACGTTCCGTACAGTTTAGTCGATCTTAACTGTAGAGTAAATCTTTCTCACGAAGATGCTGGTGCCTATGTATCCGACTGTTCCGCACATAATTCCTAGAGCACCGCTGAAAAGAGCCATGTATCCAAAGTAGAAAGCAGTTTGGAATAAACCATACATCCTGAAACAAAAAAAGTATATTAAGGAGCTGACCCACTTAAATTAAAGCGCAAGAGCTAATGTCGGATTTGCAGCAAATATACGTTCGTTCTTTCCTGACCGGAAAGCTCGTTCAGTTACCAGAGGAACGAACTGCAATCTTTCGCTGACGTAGTAAAGTGAAGAATGTTACTACCAGATATTCCATAACAGGAAACAGGATAGGTACACATATTTAATTTCCATTCGCTCTTGTACCAAAAAAGAGTGGCTTGATTGAGTGGCACGAAAGCACGCTCCTGCAATTGGTAAACAATCTTCCCGTCAGACTGTGCTATGGAAGGAAAGAAAGATCATATCTATAGACGTTTCCTGAAGACTAGGTACCGTTTGAGAAATGATCTCTTCTTGGATTTTAACAAACATTTGCATTTTCCAGTCGGCTGTAACAATTGTCATCACAGGTATTCAAAATTTGGAATATTCTGAAAATTTTCGATTGTTGCATAAATTAGATAGAAGTGTATTTCTAAATTAGTTTGAAATATACAGGGTTCGTAATTCAAGGTACAATACTTTTTTTAATTAAACACCTTATAGTTTATTATGTATAATCGGATAACAGTAAAAATAAAGCAGAATTAAACCTGATATCAGAAGAAACTTATACAGGGTGTTTATTTTGAAAACTTCCCACTACGGATTTATCGAAAACCACTGAGTAAAAGAAAAAACGCCGGGACACGTCAAAAGATTTGTCAAGGGGGACAACTTTTTAACCAAAAACTACTTCACCCCCTTTCACTCTCTGCCTCCCAGGGTCATCCCCTTGAAAATTTTAAATGTCAAGGGGTATCGAGTAACAGCTTGTTTGAAAAACCTTTCGAAGTCATTCATTTTGATGTTTTTTTTAAAACGGTCGATTTGTTTTCATGAAAATTAGGAAAATCTTTATTTATCGGATAGAAACCAAAAACACAAAGTGTTCAAAATGTTGCCAAATCTACAATTCGTTTATAATTTAAACAGAAACTACCAACATAAACAGCAATTCGGAAGATTAAACGTGGCAACAACCAAATGACAACCCGAATTTTTCCCGCATTCTTTTCATCAACACAGATATCCCGGGCTCAAGTTGAAGTTTTGGATCATTTTGGAATAAATCCTAATACTTCATTACGCAAAAATGTTGCTGCGACTGGTACTTCATTAGGCTCTGTACACAGTTACTAAACTCCAAAAATTTCATCCATTCAAAATGACAATATTTCAAGAATTAAACGAAGAAGATTTCGATAGGCGAGTTGAGTTTTGTGAACAAATGACAGCAGCGATTAATGATAATACCATTCATGTAAAGAATATCTGCTTCAGTGATGAATGCACATTGTATCTAAATGGATTTGATAAATATTTGAAAAAAATAATGTATGGGCAGGCATTTTAGGAAACAAAGTGATAATGGAAAGTTGAATGGAGACATTTATTTGGATATGTTGGACAATACTATCAATCCGCTTACCACTGACACCATTGAAAACCAAATCGAAGAGGATGGAAACCCTATACTTGATGAGGCTGAAATATATTTCCAGCATGCCTGCTAGATCTCCTAATTTGACGCCATTAAACTTTTTTCTATGAGGCCATTTAAACTGTATTGTGTATACTCCCCAACCTGAAAGTTTGGATGAACTTCGACAACGCATCATCGAAAGCTGCCATGATATCCTACAATATGTTAATGAAAATGTCCGTCAGGAATTTGATCATCGCCTATATCATTGCTTGGACAATAACGGGCAACATTTTGAACACTTATTAAAACAAAAAGTGATATTTTCGTGTGTAATTAAGGTAAATAAAGATTTTTCTAATTTTCTTGACAACGAATAGACCGATTTAAAAAATCAAACGTCAAAATAAAGGACTTCGAAAGAGCTTTCAAAAAAGCTATTACTCGATACCCCTTTTCATTTAAAATGTTTAAGAGGATGACCCTGGGGGGCTGAGGGTGAAAGGGGTGAAGTAGTTTTTGGTTAAAAAGTTGTCCCCCTTGACAAATCTTTTGACGTGTCTCGGCGTTTTTTCTTCTAATTAATGGTTTTCGATAAATTCGTGGTGGGAAGTTTTCAAATGAACACCCTGTATAAACGAGAATTTGATGGTGTAAAAATATTGGGAAAGTTCCATTCAGAATTTTTGAGAAAAATAACAGACTTTTTGCATCAGCCTGACAAAGTTAGCGTACTTTTTCTTCATCTTTCCAAAATTAGAGGAAAAACTACGCAAGATGGCAGAAGTCATCAAATGATAAAATAGCTAAACAGATGACGATCAAAATCATATAGTATCAGGTAACCAAATAAGTTCGTGCGGTTTTCAGTAGAAAAATGACCTTTTGCCAACGTGGAACCAATTTTTGTATGCCGGTATTGTAGAACTCCCTGGATTTGGAGTAAAAAAAATGGCGGAGTGCATTTATTACACCATCTCGAGTTGTGAACTGTCGGTGCCTCATACAGTTGTCAAGAGATAAAAATAGGTGATACACACTGGGCGAAATATCGGGAGAATATGGCGGGTGCGGTAACGTTTCCCAGCCGAGGTCAGAAATTTTTTCTCGGGTCACTTTTGCGGTATGAGGCTTGGTGTTATCCTGCAAGAATATCATTTTCTTCCGGTTGATGAAAGAATGCTGTTTATGGATGAGTGCTTGTACTAGTTGAAGCTGATCACAATACAAGTAGCAGTGATGGTTTGACCCCTTTCCAAAAACTTATAATGGACAATTCCAGTTGCTGTCCACCAAACACACAACAAAACCCTGTTTGAGTGCAAGGAAGCCTTGGGCGTGTGTGGTACCGAATCAGTAGGCGACAACCAATGATACGAACGCTTAGAATTCGAATACAAGATCCATTTTTCGTCGCAGGTTAATAACGGATTAAGAAATGGTTCATTAGCGTTGCGTGAAATGTTTGCTGAACAAATGGTAAGACGGCTTAATTTGTTATCATTTGTCAGTTCATGTGGGACCCATTTGCTTCACTTCCACGTCTTTCTTAGCTGATGAAGATGCAAACGTATAGATTCAGAACTCACTCTCAATATTACTGCAAGTTCTTGGCACGTTGTCTTGGAATTTGCGTCCACAACCTGTCGACGATCCTCGTTGTTCATGATTTTTGGTCTCCCTGAGCGCGGTTCATCGCTCAAACTGAGATCTCCCGAAGAAAAATTTTTGAACCACTTCTCTGCTGTTCGATCAATAACGACATCATCTCCGAATGCGGTACATATTTTTCGGGCTGCCGCTGCACCTTTTGTACCAAGTTTGTACTCATACAGTAAACAACTTCGAATTACTGTTTTATTCGTCGCCATTTTCAATTATTAAAACTAGGTATATAACAATTTTCAGCAACTTTTTATGTGTGTCAGAAAAGAAGGATTCATACTAAAGTGACAACAGGTAACAAACAATCGCCATCGATCAACAACATCCATGGCAATGTGCGATATACAGCAACCGCACGAACTTATTTGGTTACCTGATATATTATACCAATCTTCTTGTTTTCCAAACATCTTTCCGGATAATATAGGCTGTTCTATTAAAAAAATGTTTGTTGTGCTACCGAATTGTGTATATTTCTACATAATTTAGAATATCTTATGTAGATTTTCTATTGAAAAACTTTCCGTTTTCGTTGGAACATCCTGTGTATAAGTGTTCACATGATTTGTTTTATATTGTTAAGTTCCCAGAATGAATTAAAGACGAGTTAGTTTGAAATGGTGCAGGCAGACATACCCACAGGGGCTAAGGCACCAAACTTTAACACCCCGTACCTGCAACAAAAAGCATTTCTGGGCTTTGGGCCCACTGGCACAGCTTGAACAGTCACTATACAAATTTTCTTTAGAATTGACCAGTGCTCAAAGTCAATGTTTCGCGTTTGCTCCTGTACAACACTACCAAAATTTATAATTTTTTTTTTTAAAAGTGACAACAGGTAACAAACAATCGCTATCGATCAACAACATCCATGGCAATGTGCGATATACAGCAACCGCACGAACTTATTTAGTTACCTGATATATTATACCAATCTTCTTGTTTTCCAAACATCTTCCCGGATAATATAGGCTGTTCTATTAAAAAAATGTTTGTTGTGCTACCGAATTGTGTATATTTCTACATAATTTAGAATATCTTATGTAGATTTTCTATTGAAAAACTTTCCGTTTTCGTTGGAACATCCTGTGTATAAGTGTTCACATGATTTGTTTTATATTGTTAAGTTCCCACAATGAATTAAAGACGAGTTAGTTTGAAATGGTGCAGGCAGACATACCCACAGGGGCTAAGGCACCAAACTTTAACACCCCGTACCTGCAACAAAAAGCATTTCTGGGCTTTGGGCCCACTGGCACAGCTTGAACAGTCACTATACAAATTTTCTTTAGAATTGACCAGTGCTCAAAGTCAATGCTTCGCGTTTGCTCCTGTACAACACTACCAAAATTTATACTTTTCATTTTTTCTTAAATCTTAACTCAATAAATATTTTCATAATCTTCAGGTATTCCAAAATTTTCAATATTTACAAAATTCTCAAAATATTCATAATTTTGAGGATTCTGGAAATTTGAAACTTGAAAATTATGGAATTTTAAAAATTTGCTAATCGTGCAAACGAATGTTTTGAAAATTTTCTAAGCTTTGAAAACCTGTGATGACAACTGTAAAGCCTACTGTGAAAATGATATGTTAAATCCCTCCTTAGTTGTTCCTCAAGTAAGCGTTATTATTTGTTTAAAATCCGAGAGACATCCCTCAACGACACTCAATCCTCAAGAAACGTCTATAAATGTGAGCTTTATTCCTCCACACTTTCGTGTCTTCACGGCTTTCAAATGAATTGGGCATCTTTTGCTGGAATGAGTTACAAGTGGATGAAACTTTGTGGGCATTGAATTCGAATACAATTGACAAAACATTGTGAAACGTTGACACGACACACTCAATTTACCAAGGAAATAAGTCTTCGTCCATATTACATATACACATATGTTTATTTATTCCTACATGCAACCTGAAAATAGAGTAAAGTTTCTGTTTCCCAAACTTGCTACACTTAGGGAATTCGGGGAGATGGATTATGACCATAAAAAAATGGTGTCACGTAGGCTGACTGTACTTGAAACACAATGCTGTCATCAGTTCATAAAGGATTACCTTTGGCACAAGTTAGCCGCTTTGAGCTACGAACCTGTATGACAAAGAACTTACACGGATCAAGCCAGTCAAACATGTTCTTACAATTAATTGGTAGAAATATTTCCTGCTTTATCGAGAGTGCGCCCACCATCCGGCAAGTTGCAATGAATCGCCTTGCCGTAGCGCAGCGCAGAAGCAGCTAGAGACCAGAGATGCGTATCTTTTTAAGTTTTGAAGGCAAACGGGGAAATCTCTAATATATCTAATAAGTGCGCAGAGTTACCGGGGCTGGAAGCATATAAATATACTAACGGCAGAAAAATTAGATACTCTCTACCACCCCGTACAACCCATAATTTGCAATCCCTACTGTTTTCCACAAATGACTCCGGATCATTTGTGAAATTATCTGAAACGCAAAAAAAAAAAAACGAAGTTTGTGAGATTTTTTATTTTTTTGTTTTTCTGCTCCCAGCTTTGCCGCCACTAGACCCATTTTTAAAGCCTACAAAGATCATTCACATAAGTAATGTGTGAAAATTTCATCGAAATGCCAGCGTACTTTGCAAGTTTTAGACGCGCCAAAGGATTAGCGAACAGACAGACCAACGGAAATGAGGACTGGGTTTCTCGTGATGTAGATGTCTATGACATACAAAAAATATAATACACTTATATCATTGTCACAATGTGTTGTGATTACAATAATTCCTCGCCAGTGGCGGAGGAAGTAAGAATCATCAGCTTATTAGTCATCATGGTAATGAAATGTACTTACTTTGTCTTGAAGAAGAAATAGTAGATCGCGTAGATGTAAACGTAGCCAGCAGTTGAAGCAGCTGCCAAAAATGAGGTCCATTGCCAGCGATAATCTTCCGCGTTCAAAAGGAAGTAAGTGCAGACGATCGTCACGCACACGGTAACGATCATCAAAATGATGAATACCAGTAGCATGAAACCGTAGACGTAGTAGATTTTGTAGGCCCAGAACGATGTAAATATAAAATACCTGGGAATAAAATTGCACACCTAAATATTTTTGTTTATAAATAAGAGGTATTCTAAGATCAACCATTGATTAGCGTATTCCACCAGAAGATACCACCGTCTTTAGGCAGCGGCGCTGCCACCTCTCCCACTGTTCCCCAGGTTAATACAAAATCTTAGGAATCATTCACTGTGTTTGTGTCGAATAGGATTAAGACTGAATCTGAAATACGAAGCTTAGTCTTTTCAATCTCAACATTATTACTGCATTATAAAAGTTGAAAAAATCTGATGCACACATAAATAATAATAATAATAATAATCGTCTTTATTGACCAAAACATGGTACATTACATGGGGCGAGATTTAGCACCTGCTATTCCACCATCTAACCCCGTACAAAAGTGAAAAAAAAACAAGTTATACAAAAACAAAAAAAAAAATGTGAAACTACAAAGATTAAGTCACAGTATAATAGGACTACTTAGTCCAATTTAGCTATAAAAAGAAGAAGAGATAATAGGTTACATTATAATAGGACTGTTTGTGCCAATTTAGCTATAAAAAGAAGAAGAGATAATAGGTTATGAAGAAACGGAAAAATAACTAATGAAAAATAAAAAACGTATGAAAATGAAAGAACTTCTTAAGCTAGCGGTTGTTTTGCAATTCTTGTAAATATCTTTTTAACTGAGTTTTAAAACTCCGGGAAGACTGGATAGTCTTCAGATCCTGGCTTAAGCTATTGTAATATAAAATTGCATTGTATGTGAAAGTTCGTCTAAAAAGTGTTGTGCGGTGTATTGGCATAGTTAAGGAGTCACGGTTACGAACCTGAAGATTATGCACAAACGCCCTTGGAACAAGTTTACAGCTGAGGTATTGAGGGGATGACGTTAGTATGATCCTGTGAGTATAGCTGAGAATGGAGTATTTGGAAAGGTTTTGAACGCTTAGCCATGCAAGATTACGATACAAGTGTGATACATGATCGAACTTTCTTAGGCCTTCGATAAACCGTACACAGGTATTCTGCATTATCTGCAAACGTTTTGCGTTAATAGACGTCAAACATGGGTAATCTATGGATAAGCCATATAACATTTTAGAAATAACTAAACTTTGACACAATTTAATTTTGATGTTTCTATGCAGAATATGTTTGTTTGCATATAGAAGCCTGAGGGATAGATAACAATTTTTCAAGACATTATTCAGATGGGAGTTAAAACGTAAGTCCGAGTCAAAGTGAATGCCCAAATTTTTTACTATTTCAAAAAAAATAATTTCCTCCCCATTAACTTTGATGTGAATTAATGGTTTAAGGTTTTCACATAATCTTTTATTGCCAAATAATATGGCAGAACATTTTAAGGGATTCAAGTCTCAAGTTGTGAGAGCTTAACACTATCGAGATCCGCATTTACTAGCATCATGGACTCCTGGACATTGTCGGCATTAAAATCACACTTCATCTGCGTATAATCAGCAAAAAATTGAGCATGTGTATTCTTGAAGTTATCTTGTAAATCTGCAGTGTAAAGTAAAAACATCAATGGTCCCAGTACTGAGCCTTGTGGAACACCTGACTGAATGTACCTTGATGTCGAAATTTGATTACTGATATTTACTTTTTGCCTATGTTCCCTTAAATATGACCTAATAAAGTTGCAGGCAACTTCATCGAAGCCATAGTAGTGGCACTTGGCAAGTAGTTGGTGGTTAAGCGTATCGAAGGCCTTGGAAAAGTCTAACAGTACCAGCAAGCTCATGTTTTTACTGTCGATGGAAGATATGATGCTATCAATGAGATAAGACAAGGCTGTAGTTGTACTGCGGTTTTTCTGAAAGCCTGATTGATGGGTGGGGATGATATTATGTGCATTGGAATGCCCCATAGAAAGCAACATTAACACATTAACATTAAAACTCATGATCGAAAATAATTTATAATCCAAATTTTGCAAACATAACCACAAAATACAAACTTCCAACAACATGACAAGTGACATTTGCTTTACTGTGAAGCGGCCGCAGAATTCCTAAAATCGGATTAACCGGTTTATATTGAGAAAGACAAATCCAAATCTCAACCCAATCTCATTACTAAGACGATGGAGCCAGTTACTCCTAAGAAAATCGCTGCGATCCTACTTAGCAGCATGACTGCAACAATGGAAATTGTATGTGTACGTCCAAATACAGCAGAGAGTTGGGCATATTCTTGGAGAATATGTTCATCAATATTTATAATACCACTCCTCAGAATAACTATGAATTTCTGTTCATTCCTTTTTTAATCCAGTATGTTTTAATAGCACACAGAAGAAAAGAGTCCAAGGAACCAAAAATTGTGATACAAAGTTCAAACTACACGTCACTGTCTGTCAGTGGGATCGTTGCTCTTAGTCTCGTGGGTCTGTTGGATCTGGTTGTCCAAATACCAAACAAGTTCGAATAGAAAAAAGGAAAAAGAAAAGAAAGGAAGATCACTAAATATCTTTACTTACATCTCTATGAAGATACTAGCAAATGGCAAAATTCCTCCGAGTAGGATGATAACGCCGGGTTCCATGAACCATTTCTTCTCTGGAATAGGTCTCGGCACGGCGTTTATACGGCACGGATAATCTGGTTGACCCGCCAAATTTCGTCCTAAGACTGTCCCAACCAATGTCAATGGGAGAATAACAAACAGACAAATGCACGTTACAGCAACCTATAAAAAAACAGCTATAAAGTTTCTTTTCGTTGTTCCAGACGTCGCTACTTTCCTAAATACCAACTTGAAGGCTGCTTTCGTCATCACATCCATTGTAACTAGGGGTGTCAACCCCGGGGTCCCGGAATCCCGGAAGAAAACCTGTCTCGAAAATCCCGGGATTGGCTAATAATTTCAATTAGTCCCGAAATTTTTCATTAGCTTATATTTAGTATATAATTTTATGAATGTTTGATTGAAATTTATGAACCGTTGGATAACAAACTTCAAAAAGCAATAGTTACACATTCAGAATCAAAGCAGAAGAAGACTAAATGATTATCTGGCATACTTAGCCAAGAAATTGATCTTTTTTTAAATGGCGGAAATCGTGCCAGCTTGCTTCAAAAAGCTTACGATTATCTGTCAAAAATTCAGAGCCCACTAGTGCAGGGTACAAGAGATGCTTTTCTTCTGCAGGATATATACAGGGAGACGCATCGAAAACGAAACAGACGCGTTTACTGGCAGCTCAGTTTTTTTTGAAAAACGCTCACACATGTCGATTTTGTTTTCGAAGGGGCCACAAGTTTGGCAAAAAATCACGTTAGCATCTGCAGCCCCCTAAGCGGGGGTGACACCACCCCCAAAATCTTAAATGGAAAGGGGGTCGAGTGATACCTTATTTTAAAGCTCTTTCAATTCCCTTTATAATGATATAAAATTAATGTACTTCAGTTCAGTAGTTTTGAAGATTTATTGATTTAAGGCTTAAATAAAACTAATACATCATCATTGGTGGAGATCAATACATTTGGCAGCAAAGTAATTTAAAAGTGAAGAACGAACTGACCCGATAGGCAAGTAAATGTTGAAAATGGCCACCATGGCCACATTTTGCAATATTTGAGGAGTAATTTGAAGGCACTCATTCACAATTCTTTGCCGCAGGTCTTCTAATGGTGTTGGCTGAGTAGCACAGATTTTGCAGCATAAAGAAATCCAAAGGTGATAAAACTGGCGATCTTGGGGGCCATTCAATGGCACCTCTTTTACCAATCCATCGATCTGGAAACGTCTGATCTAAATATTGTCTAACACGTGATGCGTAATGTGGTGGGGCACCATACTGTTGGAACATCAATCTATTCGCAATCTACAACCGATCATTCTGATTTTCAATTATGGCTGTTAATGCAGGATCTATGGCGTCTTCCAGTAATTCCAAATACATTTCACCGGTCAAATTTCCAGGTAAGAAAAAAGGACCAACTAAATGATCGCCAAAAATACCAGCCCAAACATTTAATTTTTGTGGCTGCTGTGTATGAACCTCATGATAAATTCTGGGATTAGAATCGGACCAATATCGGCAATTATGAGAATTTACTACGCCATTTAAGAAAAAGGAACATTCGTCGGAAAAGCAAGTGTTGAATAGAAAATGTTCATCGTTTATAATTCGTTCACTCATATCTTCACAAAATTGTAATCGCCGATCAAAATCGTCTTCATGAAGTTCTTGTACCAGGTGAATTTTATACGGATGAAAACTATGGGCGTTTAGAATCCGTTGGACAGTACGTCGACTAACACCACACACAGTCTCCAATTTGCGGGTACTTAACGTAGGATCTACATAAACTTGCCCTAAAACCCCCACTTCTATTGCTTCGTTCCTTATGGGATTTTCAATGTTGCGTTTTTTATTGGCGACTGACCCAGTTTCCCGAAATTTAGCTACAAGTTCTAGAACATATTTTCGATGCACGTTACTGTTCTCATGTCGCTCATTAAATACTTCTGCTGTTCTATTAGCGCACTGTTCATTTTCGAAAAATATTTCGATAATTTCAACTCTTTCTGCTGTGGATATACCATGGTTAATTGATGTAATAAAGCGTTACAAGTTATTTTAGCAACAAAGTTTGGTCAAATCAATCGCAAACTATGTACTAAATTCCTATTTAAAATAAGTACGAGATATTTCCTTATCTTTCTTCAAGAAATAAATTTTTTGCCACAAAAAAACGCTCCTATAGCTATTTTCAACAATAAAATGATAAACAAACCATGGACGTAGTGAAGAAAAGCATTTACTTATTAAGAAAATTCTTTTAGTCAAATTTCTTCTGAAAGTAGTACAAACTAATCTGATGTACTTATTAAAGTCTACTTTAAGCTTTAAATCGATGGATCTTCAAAAATACTGAACTGAAGATCATGTATTTTACATCATTATAAAGGGAATTGAAAGACCTTTAAAATAAGGTATCACTCGACCCCCCTTTCCATTTAAGATTTTAGGGGTGGTGTCACCCCCGCTTAGGGGGCTGCACGTGCTAACGTGATTTTTTGCCAAACTTGTGTCCCCCTCGAAAACAAAATCGACGGATCTGAGCGTTTTTCAAAAAAAAAACTGAGCTGCCATTAAATGAGTCTGTTTCGTTTTCGATGCGCCACCCTGTATGTAATAAAATCTAAAAAACGAAAAATCTAAAAGACGAAACTTTAAACGCACTCATATTTTTGCGATCGTATATTAACAACTTATAATTGAAATTTCATTCCCAGTTCTTATGAATGTTTTTTAGTTGAAGTTTATTATCAAAAAAAAAACAAATAATGTTTATTTTTATATATATTTTATTTAACAAAAGTGCCACTCACTTAACTCTTTATTATGACAATTGTATCTATAGTCATCGTTCATAGTATTTATGCTTTGTTAAGTTCTTTGAATTTCCATAATTTCTGTTTTTTGTTGGTTGTTGGTCCCGGGATAGACAGAGTCTCGAAAATCCCGGGATTTGGAAAACCATTCGGGATTGACACCCCTAATTGTAACCTAGTTTCTGATAGAAATTAGTTACTCTGTTTTGGTAGTCCAACATCTCAGGGCTGCCACAACACGCATGTTCTGGGACACCCCGAGGAGCGTTTAGGTGTACTTTGAACGGATGCGTACCTACTAAGTTGGGTAGACGGCCGATTTACCGGTGCCACGTGAGAGAGGTAAGCAAAAATACGACTAACTTAAATTCTGATGTCTGATTTTTATATACAGGGTGTCCCAGAAGTCGACGTCAAGCCGTAAACGGGGGACACGCCAAGTCCTAATAGTTATCAGAAACATATAAAAAACCTAAATCGTGTACTTTTCTTCAAATTATAGGCTTAAAAATTGGAAAAATCCACACTCTGTGATGATTTTTTAGTTCCATTACTACAAATTTTTAGTAACGCCCCTTTTATTAATTCATGATTGTGTAGTACCAATGACGTGGATCTGTGTGCACCGTAAAGGGTTACGCCAAGATGCACCTCATTTACGGGGAATGTAGATGCAATTCTAGCACTGCAACTAGGCTTTGTACTGAGAAGTCCTAAATGCTGCTGGTCATCTCGATCACCGAGTTTTTGTGAATGTGCACAAATTACTCTCAGAGGGACGATTCACAAATGAAGCACATGGTGAAGGAAATATTTTCTTTTCTTACGAGGACGTGGTGTTACAAGCAGTCGAAGAAGACCCGAGACCTCCAGAACGTCAAATAGAAGCAAGCACTTGAGTGCTCAAAACTACAGCCCACCGAATCTTGCAATAGAACGAGCTCCACCCGTACCACGTCAGCGAGTACAATCACTACAACGTCGGGACTATCTTCTAAGAGTTGAGTTTTGTCAAACAATGTTACAAAGACTCCGGGAATATTGGCGATTTTTAAAATTGACTGATAAGTCGACATTTAAAAAAGATAGTTACATGAATCTACCCAAATTACACGAGTGGCATGATGAGACAAGACAGATCACAGTATCGTTTCAAAGTAAATATGTGGACCGGGATTGTACCCTTTGAGCTGCCAGAGTTCTTGAATGGCGAAATTTATTTAGGCTTTTTACACAATCATTTACCGAATTTATTGGAAGACGTGCCACTAAGCATTCGACCCCCCTTTCCATTTAAGATTTTAGGGGTGGTGTCACCCCCGCTTAGGGGGCTGCACGTGCTAACGTGATTTTTTGCCAAACTTGTGTCCCCCTCGAAAACAAAATCGACGGATCTGAGCGTTTTTCAAAAAAAAAACTGAGCTACCACTAAATGAGTCTGTTTCGTTTTCGATGCGCCACCCTGTATGTAATAAAATCTAAAAAACGAAAAATCTAAAAGACGAAACTTTAAACGCACTCATATTTTTGCGATCGTATATTAACAACTTATAATTGAAATTTCATTCCCAGTTCTTATGAATGTTTTTTAGTTAAAGTTTATTATCAAAAAAAATCAAATAATGTTTATTTTTATATATATTTTATTTAACAAAAGTGCCACTCACTTAACTCTTTATTATGACAATTGTATCTATAGTCATCGTTCATAGTATTTATGCTTTGTTAAGTTCTTTGAATTTCCATAATTTCTGTTTTTTGTTGGTTGTTGGTCCCGGGATAGACAGAGTCTCGAAAATCCCGGGATTTGGAAAACCATTCGGGATTGACACCCCTAATTGTAACCTAGTTTCTGATAGAAATTAGTTACTCTGTTTTGGTAGTCCAACATCTCAGGGCTGCCACAACACGCATGTTCTGGGACACCCCGAGGAGCGTTTAGGTGTACTTTGAACGGATGCGTACCTACTAAGTTGGGTAGACGGCCGATTTACCGGTGCCACGTGAGAGAGGTAAGCAAAAATACGACTAACTTAAATTCTGATGTCTGATTTTTATATACAGGGTGTCCTAGAAGTCGACGTCAAGCCGTAAACGGGGGACACGCCAAGTCCTAATAGTTATCAGAAACATATAAAAAACCTAAATCGTGTACTTTACTTCAAATTATAGGCTTAAAAATTGGAAAAATCCACACTCTGTGATGATTTTCTAGTTCCATTACTACAAATTTTTAGTAACGCCCCTTTTATTAATTCATGATTGTGTAGTACCAATGACGTGGGTCTGTGTGCACCGTATAGGGTTACGCCAAGATGCACCTCATTTACGGGGAATGTAGATGCAATTCTAGCACTGCAACTAGGCTTTGTACTGAGAAGTCCTAAATGCTGCTGGTCATCCCGATCACCGAGTTTTTGTGAATGTGCACAAATTACTCTCAGAGGGACGATTCACAAATCAAGCACATGGTGAAGGAAATATTTTCTTTTCTTACGAGGACGTGGTGTTACAAGCAGTCGAAGAAGACCCGAGACCTCCAGAACGTCAAATAGAAGCAAGCACTTGAGTGCTCAAAAGTACAGCCCACCGAATCTTGCAATAGAACGAGCTCCACCCGTACCACGTACAGCGAGTACAATCACTACAACGTCGGGACTATCTTCTAAGAGTTGAGTTTTGTCAAACAATGTTACAAAGACTCCGGGAATATTGGCGATTTTTAAAATGGACTGATAAGTCGACATTTAAAAAAGATAGTTACATAAATCTACACAAATTACACGAGTGGCATGATGAGACAAGACAGATCACAGTATCGTTTCAAAGTAAATATGTGGACCGGGATTGTACCCTTTGAGCTGCCAGAGTTCTTGAATGGCGAAATTTATTTAGGCTTTTTACACAATCATTTACCGAATTTATTGGAAGACGTGCCACTAAGCATTTACAGAGACATGTGGAACCAGCAAGACGGCTGCCATGCGGAATACCCAAGCAGATGGATGGTACAATTTCGTGGCTAGCCCGTTCAATTTACTTAAATTCATTCGATTTTTTCTATTGGGGAGCGGTAAATAAAAAGTGTACTCAAAGCCAATCGAAAATATACCTGAGCTATGGTACAGAATTACGGATGCAGCTGAATTTGTTAATAACGGAAGATTAGCCCGTCTGATAACTCGATTATTTTTAAGATGTCAAGCTTACACACTCACGAATTAATAAAAGTGGCGTTATTATGTCTTGCAGTCACTAAGTAGAATGACGTCTAAGAAAACATTGAAATTTGTAGTAATGGGAACTAAAAGACCATCACAGGGTGTAGATTTTTCCGACTTTTTTAAAAACCTATAATTTATATATATATATATATATATATATATATATATATATATATATATATATATATATATAATTTGGAAAGGACACGACTTTTTTTATATTCTTCTAATAACTATTATGACATCTACGTCTATCCACCGTTTCCGGCTTGACATCGACTACTCTAACGTTTTAAAGAATATACAAAAACATCGGAAATCAAAATTTACGCTAAGCTGCTCCTATTATTACTTACCTTTCTCTCTTAGTACTCGTAAATTGACAATGTACAGTCTGCGAAAACCAAAACTTCACCAATTTTGGCTCAACAGACAAGGTTAAAAATCACTTTAAAATAAAGTAATCTTAAAATACTCTTCGGGATCTTGTAAAACAAAGTTCAATCTCTACCTCAGATACCTGAAGACCTCAAATATCATAATTTTGAACCCAGTTTTTAAGCCTTGAATACACCCACTTTTAACTTATATAACGCTTATAACTCGACAATGGTCAAATTTAGAGAAAAGTTTTCAGAGCAAAAAAATGTTATTAAGGTCATTTAAAAAAATGTTTAAATAAATTTGATCTGGGTTACCATGCGGGTATATTCAATGCTCGGTTAAAAATAATTTTTGACGTCAAGTATCTAAATTAAAGTTAAAATCTTGCACTAGCGACAAGAGATTTCAACTTTTTTTTTCAGGCCAAAATTGGGGAACTTTTGATTTTAGCAGACTGTACTTATAAATGCTACTCAATGCGACACGTTTTGTATTTCAGAAAATGAATTACGTCTGACAGCCCTGGGATCTTATAGTAGCAGTAATGGTGGGGACATGGAGCCTAGCAACTAGGACACCTTTGGGACTTTTTGCCGACCCAGAGAGTACCAACCCTCTACTCCACTTGCTTATTTACTAAACTATCGACACTTCTTGATCTCCTGATGAGTCAGCATGTCGGATCACTACGAAAAAAAGTATGCAACTTCGCTATCAAACTCCATAGCTTTGTTTATCTCAGCCCTGCAGTTGCAATATATAGGGCAAAGGCCTAGACAGCGGAGCGCTCCCAGTACATGGAGTCTCTTTTGATCCGCAGAAGGGACAAATGACTATTCAGTCTTCAGTGGATTGTAAGAAGCTCCATAAAAAAAATGAGCCACTATTTGCCTCTGTCCAGTTGCCAGCACGTCCGACGTTTGTTGGAGCTCGCTATGAACCTCTTGACACTTTTCCAAGGTCTCTGTATACCCTGGTATCTTTATCGTTCTACCTATAGTGTGCTGATGGATCCTATTACGGTAAAACGATACCGTATACGGTTGCAAGGACGGAAGCAGTCTTTTCTTATGAATATTGTAGCGTCTACCTAATACATTGTACAAAGTACTTTTCCTCCTTGTTTACTTACCATGGTACCAAAAGGAATAGCCCTGGATGCGTGGTAGTAAATAGCGATGAAATTAATGAAGAAAGCTGTTCCGCAAACGAATGCCGGCAGCATGAAGGCCGATACGAGCATCTGACGTATCCATAACTTTCCTCCCATTCGAGCGTACAAAGACCCGCCAAAATATCCGTTTATTGGTGACGTCACAGCATAAACAAAGATTGCGGTTGAAAGCATCGAACCTCTCCTGAAATGAAATAAGAGGAGTTGGTCAAAAATGCTTTATTACTATAATTTGGGTAATTTTTAGGGAAGCGAAAAAAGATAAGTGAAACCTTCCTCAGGGGTTTGTCCAGGCCCGATCAAATTTGTAATTAATAATACTAAGTCAAACATTTTGCATGTTAATAAAGGGGTTCCTCAAGTGTCTATCCTAAGGCCTCTATTGCTTGATTTATTTACTGTAAATACAAAGGGTACTATAAAACTTTCGCAATATGACTTAACAGACGGGCGCAGGAGGCTGCATGTTGAGACATGTCCATGCGTCGATAGTAGCCACCAGCAGCAGCGTCTGTTGAGGGGGAGGGGAGGGCGCGAACGTTAGTAACAGGGGAAAACATTACTGCTGTGAGGAAAATGCTTGACGAAGACCGGAGAGTGACATACCAACGGATAGATGAGAACTTGCACATTCATGCACCAGCAATTCATTCAATTCTGCATGACCCTTTACACGTAAGAAAACTTTATTCTCTCAGGGTACCGCATAGTCTGACGGAAGAGCAGAAGATTCGTCGTACGACTTGGTGCCGAAAATGTTTGATAAGAGGCAATCTCGGTACGTGAACAGCAACGTGACAGGTGAAGAGATTTGGCTCTATTATTACGATGTGCCGGCCAAGGCTCAAAACAAGGTTTGGGTCTTTGATGATGAGGACACACCAGTAGGTGTCAGAAAATCCCGATCTGTTAAGAAAAAAATGATAGCTGTATTTTCCAAATGGAGCGGGATTGTTGAGCGTGTCTTTTTGGACACACAGCTAAGTGGTACACGGAACAGTGCTTGCCTAAAATCATAGATTCTATGAAAAACCTACGGCCAAAGTCAAGAATGAACACTTGGTACTTCCAACATGACAATGCTCCAGCTCACTACGCCAAAACCTGTATTTGACCACTACTAGACTGAAACTTATTGACCACCCTCCTTAGTCTAGAATCTAGATCTTGCTCCCTGCGACTTTGCGCTGTTTCCGCATGGGAAATTGAAGCTAAAAGGAAAACAGTTTTCTAGCGATGAGGGCTTGGTACGAGTGAGTTGCAGTCCCGGGTGAAACTTAGCAGAGCTGGTTTAAGGACTGGTTTTGTTGGATGGAGAAGTGTATTGAATGTGGTGGAAATTACTTTAAATAATAATAATAATAATAATATTTATTCGCCAAAATACAAAAAATGGGCAAATAAATATGAAAAAACCACAGAAGGCATCGCCTGTGTGTGGTTTATATCTTAATAACTAACAATCAATCATATATGTGTATAACAATTATTGTTAAATCTAAAAGGTATTAATGTAATTGGAATTTTGTAGTTTTAGTTTTCTATATAATTATGTATAGTCATTCGCTGCACATTACTAACCCAGTCTTTCAATTTTCTTCTAATTTTTTTTCCAAAATTAAGTATCTTTATTTCGTTTGGTACTACATTATATAATTTAGCTGCTAAGAATTTAAATGATTTTTTGAATAATGTTTTGTGTGGTCTTTGGATATTAGGTGAGCCTATTCGAAATCGTGTGTTATGCTCGTGTTTATAGGATTTTTTCTTTTTATTACAATACTTATGGTATAAGGTGGTGGCATGTAAGAAATAAAGTTGTCTTGTATCAAGTATCCCTGTTTCTTGATATAAGTTGTTCGTTGGATATAATCTTGGCTTATGGAAAATGGCTTTCAAAACAGTTTTTTGTGCTATATTCAGGTCAGAAATATATGTCTTGCAGGCGGCACCCCAGGCTGTGATGCCGTATATTATATGGGTTTCAACTAAGGCATGGTATAGGATTCGCAGATAACTTTCTGTAAGAATGTTAGCAAGCATTTTGAGTTTATAGGCAACATTTCTAATTTTTTTGATAACATATTTAATGTGGTTATCCCACCTTAGATGTGAGTCTATAAATATTCCAAGATATTTCAAAGTGTTAACTCTATCGATTTTGGTCTTTTGGCCATGATAATTAACGGAAATTTGTTCGAAGGTAGGTAAAAATTTTGAATAGGATGTAAATGTAATAAATTTTGTTTTTTTGAAGTTAACTGTTAAAATTTTAGTATCAAACCAGTCAATGATCCTTATAAAATCCTTTTCAGCTATTTGCTTCAGTGTGCTCCAGTCATCAGCTTTATATACTAATACGAGGGTGTCATCTGCAAAACATATAATCTTTCCAGAACTGTTAATTTTGAATAAGTCATTTAAGTAGAGACTAAATAATAGTGGGCCTAGTACTGTTCCTTGAGGCACACCACACTTGATGTACATTTTTTTACTGTAAGTGTTAGTGATTTTGACAGTCTCTGCCCGACTTGAAAGGTAATTTTTTAAAAGGATTTGTGACGCTCCCCTAAATCCCAATCTTTCCATAACTTTCAGAAGCTCGACATGGTTAACCGTATCAAAGGCATTTTTTAGATCAACAAAGATACCAATAGTAGGTATCTTTTTGTTGACATTAGAGTTAATTTCATCCATTGCAGCCAAAATTGCATCTGTAGTAGATTTTCCTTTTCTAAATCCATATTGGTCAGAACATATAATTTTGTTTTTGTCCAAAAATTGTAATATCCTTTTTTGTAGTAATTTTTCGAAAATTTTGGCTATATTCGATAGTACTGATATGGGTCTATAATTTGATGTTTCCATTCTGTCACCGCCTTTATAAACAGGAGTAATAACAGTTGTTTTAAATGCATCAGGACAAATTCCAGATTGGAAACACCAATTAATGACGTAAGAAAGTGGTTCGGCTAAGTCGTAGGCTATTATTTTTAAATGCTCAGCTTTGATACCATCTACACCAGGACTTTTTTTGGTTTTAAGTGATAGGACAGCTTCTTGTACTTCAATCGGACTAACGCTTTCTAAAAAGAATGAATTGGGAATTTGGGTTTTTGGGAACATGTCGTTCAAAATATTTTTTTAATACTGGCTGCTAAATTTTCTCCAACATTAGTGAAAAAACTTATAAATGCATCGGATATTTGTCGTTTATCTGTTAATATTGTTCCATCATGATTCTTAATTTCATCAATATTTGGTTTTTCTTGAACGTCTTTGTTAGTTAAGTGATCAACAACTGACCACAGTTTTCTTGGATCAGATTTGGCATCTTGTAATTTTTTTAGATAGAATTGGCGTTTTGCTTCTCTAACTAGATTGATAAAAATATTTTTTATATTCTTTATATTTATGGGAGGTATCTGCACATGGCGATGCTTTCATTATTTTGTATAGTTCCTCTTTTTTGTTGGCAGACTTTATCAAACCTTTAGTTATCCAGGGATTCCTGCTTCTGTCAAAATGTTTAATTTTAACTCTGTTTGTACTACATTCAATTAAATATTTTATGCGTTCAATGAGTGTGTTTGCAGCATCATTAACATTCGTTGCACAGTACACTGCTGTCCACGATTCTAATTTGATATTTGCAAGTAGTTTTTTTATTATCGACGAAACACCTAAATTTCACTGTTTCATTATTGGAGATGGATCTACTTTTATTTTTTTCTGGTGATGATATAAGTATTACAGTGGGTAAATGATCGGTAATATGGTTTTCAACAATTAACGGTATGTACCGAAAGAAATTTGAAAAATTTTTGATGAAACAATGATCAATGCAAGAACTAGAACTATTATTGACTACTCTTGTTGGTAAATTTATATTTGATATGAATCCATTGCTCTGCATTACAGTGAGGTATTTGTTTACTAATTTGGTATGTTGGAGTATATTAATATTCATATCTCCTATTATGATGTGGTGTGACTGTATGGCATTTTTGTTATCTAACAAAAATTTTTCAAGATTTTCTACAAATGTATAAGGGTTTGATGATGGTGGTCGATAGACAGATGTGACTTTTACACTTTTGTTATTAATTCTCAATATCAAATCCAACACTGTGATACCGTCATCAAATTTAACAAAATCACATCTGTAGTTGATATCATTTTTTACATATACTACCACCCCATCATTCTGGTTGTACGTACCATTATTGTAAAGCGTATCATAACCTTCCAAACAGAACAAAGATACATCATTAATTTTCCAAGTTTCTGTTAATATTATTATATCAAATTTGTGATTAATTGTAGTTAGGAAGATATTAAAACAGTCAAAATTTTGGTTTAGGCTTCGTATATTCATGTGATATAAGCTAACATTGAAATTAGAATATTCTAACCATTTATTAAGAGCATTTGCGTCTTGAGCAATATTTGTATTGATATCATTAACCTGAAAATTATTTACGTAACTATCCATGTAAAATTTTGCAAATGATATGTAGCTCGAAAAACGTAAAAAGAACTAAACGCTCAAAACATTATTCTGGATGAATACTGTTTTTGAAAATATAAATACGACGGGCATTTTTTGTCTGTGGGCGAGTGACCTACATCATTATTCTTATTATGCTTAACGTTATAGTTCATACAGTTAGAACATTTTAAAATGTTTACAGTACAAATTTCACTTCTATGTGCTTGTCCACATTTAATGCACATTTCCGCGCCCCTACATTTTTTGTCTGTGTGACCAAACTTCAAGCATTTTCTACACTGCGATATCTGGTTATTATCATAGACAAATAAGTTTTGCCAACCTAGTAGTATTCTTGATTTCTTGTTGATAAATATGTCTCTATATAGCTCTCCAGAAACTTCAGCGAATATAGTATAAGAATTTCGGAATGGTATGTGTCGTACAAAAGTGATTTCGATTTCGTTTTCATTAATGAATGTATTTTGGGATATGATTTCTTCTTTAATTTCTGCTTCTGAAGGTTTTTTTTCAGTTTTGTAGCCTATGATCTTAATTTTCGGTCTCATTTCTCTTGCTCCTGATATATTGTATTTTCCCTTCAACTTAGTTTCTAGTTCATTTTTGAGTTTCTGGTAATAACATTGCTCAACTTGAATTTCGACGCCACCGTTTTTATAATTATTTACTTT